AAGTACAGTTCATATATATGTACTGCATATTAGTATTTGGAAACTCCAATCAACTTGCAACAATGATGTAGATGATGACACTTGTGTTAATAAAATTAATATCTCAATTAGAGCAATTTATATACCAGATGTCTAAACACTCGGAAACAAACCTCTAAATACACATAAATGAATACATACATGTATATCAGGTTATACCATGGTCAGAGCAATATCAGGTCCAAGTAATAAATCACATATTCGGGATCAAGACTGATATTGGGACAAACTGGGATCAGAACATCAATTTGCATGAAAATTCAAATTGCTCATTGCAGTTCTTAAGACTCCAGTGTGACATACCCTGCACGCAGTCTAGATGTAAACAAAGACGAACCTCTCTTTTAGAAGCATAGTCGAACATGCAAAGGGTAACAAAGACCTGGGCATTTGAAGAAATGTTTTTACCTGTTTCCTTTTTTGTTAAACTCTAAACATGCACATTTAACAATGGGAAATATTTTGTACCAAAATACTATAATAATATAGTATATGGGTTTGATGAGAATGATGACAGGCTTGACATGAGTCATAATGGTGAGGTATGTTTTATCACATACATATAAATCAAAATCCTAGATGTTTTATCCATGGCATAAATCATTAATAAGTACCATTGACACAATAAACGTAATGGTAAATTACAAGTCAATGGATCAACAGCGATGTCTGGATATCAAGGTACAAAAATACATGCCTGTTCTAAATACAGATTCAACTGCAACAACAGCTTTTAAATAAAAGGATTAAACCAACACATTATTTAAATCTACTGTGTTTAACTGCCCCTTTTAATTTTAATGAGGGATATATGTTGTCCTTAAGTATTATATTAACATGCAAAATGTCACCACCTGCCATTTGTTACAGACACTTAACTGTGAATGCCAAAGGCCAACCTCCAAGCACCATTCATAAAATCAAATAAAACATTAGAGACTATATAAAATTATGCCACCACTTGTGGTAGTGATCTAAAAATCATAAAATTGAATTGTAAGTGAGATGTTGTTGATATATATCTGGCATGAGGGACAATAATGAATATAAAAATGTCTATATTACCAATATCTTACATCCATCAATTATCTTATGAAAGATTATGATTACAGGAAAAAGATAATAAAGAAGCAATAAATTTGAATGATGTTTGTTTTAGCGCCTATTGCTATAAGGAGAATGTACAAGGATTACTTGCATAAAGCAAACATGTCTTTGTCAGTGCTACCTGCCTTTAAAAGTATGTTTTAAGATTAATTATAACACTTTATTGTAAAATATTTCATTCCAAAATAGCTGCTAGTTCCTGATGAACATGTACTGCCCAGAGACTTGACAAAATAATGACATGTCTCAAAGGAAAACTGACAAGACTTACAGTAAATTTCTTATTGTGTATTTGTTCATTGAGTTTACGCAGGTCTGCTCTTATGACATTTGAGCAAACAAAAAACTAAATGATCAATAATCAGTAAACATCACATTACCATATTAGAAATATGAGTTAATATCAGCAAAGATGAAGAACAAAAACTGATGCATTTGAGACACTTATTATTAATCTTACATACCTAGCTCTCAACATTGTGTCCTCTAATCTGAATTATACGTAGAGAGGTCAGCGACTTTGTAATATAATAGAAGAAACAGAATAGACACTCTGACTTTCAAGTGAGCATAAAAAAGACTTAATTCCATGCCACAAAGATCTATAAAATAAACCCCTTTCTAGTCCTTTCTCGTGTACCCTTACTATTTGTTTCACTTATTTCTTAAAAGAGAGCTTTGTTACATTTGAACTTGTCTCTATGCTCAGGTATTTCTCTTGCAGAAATATATACTCAGCAACTAGTTATTTGATAAGTGTACAAAGTTAATAGTAATTTAAAAAATGAACGAATATCTACAATGATTGACAATCCTGTACATCAGCTACAGTAGTTCAGAATAATACCAGGATTTTTGAGAGATTTAGTATTTTCTGTCAGTTGAGAAGATTGGCTTTTCATTGCAGACAAGTAATATTTCTCAAGAACACGAACCTTTCAAACAGAATGCTATCAATTACCCTTTAAGCAATATTTCATACACATACATGTTCGTATTGACAAACAGAATGAAAAAACTGGAATTAAAATTAGATAAAAGATTAAATTTATTGGATTAATTTCAAAAAATGTTTTTCTATATTTCATTCTGAGGCAAATCTTCTAATTGATTTGCTCAGCTTGACAGAGTAAATATTTTTTGATAATTTATCAGCATTTGTATTAGTTTTATCTCTAGAGATCAATATCAAATCTTTACTATGGCTTCTAATAAATTAATACATCACATGTAAATTACAATAACCATTCATTTACACCTGTTACTTCAACAAAGGGATAGTTTCACAGAGCAAAACTTAATTGCATTTGCTGACAATAACACAGCAAAACAAATACTGTACCAATATGCCTATATTAAAAATGCTTTTTATAATATGTTTTTATTTTCAGCGTTTCAGAATGGAATGGGAATTCATAGATAACTAGACAACAGCAACGCCAAAGCGTAGCAAATCCCATCAAACATTTTTACAAACAAAGTATATAGCAAAAATGGCAGCCATTTTTCAAATTGACCACCTTCTACTGCAAGTGTCATTAGACAGTGTGTCATGCTTATAGTATTCACATACCAAATATGAACAAAATCGCTTCGCTACTTTTCGAGTTACAGCAAAAATCGTAAAATAGTGAGGAAAAGCCGCCATTTTTCAAGATTACTGTCATGTCTTCTTTAAGATCTACATTTCTAGCTTTATTAATGTCCTATACTTTTTTTACATTTAAAACATATTGCTATTACAGTTTTACATATTGTACTCCATAGGGTATATGTTTACAAAAAAAATATGAACAAAATCAGGCCAACAGTATTTGAGTTAAATTGCCTGGACGGACGGACAGAGTCGTTCTCTATATCCCTCCCAACTTCGTTCGATGGGATAATAAGTGTAGAGGCAACTCATAACTTACTATGAAACACAGTCTGGGTCTCTTTATAATTTTGACATCAGTATTCAACATACCATATTTTCATTAATGCATAATTATTATTAGAAAATAGCTTTAGCTGCATTTACAGGGTGGGCCACTGCCACATTTTGTAAAATGGACATAAAATTGTGACCATTGAGAATACACCAATACATCTTGATAGAATGAAAAAACAGATGAATAAAATTTAAATATGACTTAAAACCTATTCTGAATGACTGAGTTATCTATTACATCAGAAAACGAGGGGCCATGGGTTCTGATTACAACTCGGGTAGACTTTTTCACATTAGCCATTAGCGCAGAATTTCATTCTATGTTTTCATTCATCAAGTTACATAAGAAAATTTGATGTATTGATTAATGAGATTACAGATTAACATGAGTATAAATAATTATCTCGCAAGTTATCACTGACTTTGATTTTATCCATTCTAACAGTTTTTTATAATACTACTAGACAGATTATACAGGGCTGTCCTGGGACCCTATCGTTTTGACTTAAATCACAGCTGGGGTAGCAGCAATTACATTTGATATGATTTGTCAGGACTACTGAGCATTGTTAAAATAATTCTAAAAATCGATTGCTTAAGAAATTTCAAGGTCTTTTAAGGCTTCCAAAAATAGCAAATCTCAAACACCAATAGCATCTTCAAATCGGAAGATATCCTGCACAGTCAACCAGTAATCATTGGACACACCCAACTCAATAGCCACCAAGCTAAAATTAACCTGAACATCACATCAAATCTCTGTAAGTTCTCTGATAAACCAGAAACAGTTGACCACTACATGCAGGTTACGGCTCTTCATACTGGAAAGAAAGACAAGATCTCTTGTCAAAAGCACGCTGTATACTACTAGCGGAAAACACAAATCTATCCGTAGATCTACAGTTTCTAAGTGGATGTAATGCAAACCTTTTACAATCAACAACCAGGATACATAAGTCAAACTTAGAGATTTTAAAATGAGCACATATAAAACTGTAGGTTTCTCTACTGACCTGAAAGAAGTCAGCTCTAAGTTCTTCCATTGGAATTGCGAAAAAAAGAATAAGTTAAGATCTTTATGGCTGATTTATGATGCAACGGTGTGCTTAATTACATATACTGTATAATTCCCCTTTGAAATTATATAAAATTACATAAATTTTTGATTGTTATATTATTCTCTTTTGTTACTGGTCTGTATTGGTAGCCTATAAGATTTTTGTCAAACATTTCTTAAAAATGAAGAGATATTTCTAAATATGTGAATAAATCATGAAGATTGGGAGTAATGGTGTTGAACTGTTATATTCGTAACACTGGTTTAAAAGATGGTGGGTGCATATTTTAGCTATATAGGACAATTGTGCGATAATTAGGACCATTTCCACAGTCTTTTATCTTCAGCTGTTTTTCTAATGTTACGACAACCCTAAGATAAACGCTCTACTTTACGTGGTGTAATTCAGCTTGCTTTGAGCCATCTGTGTTCAGTAAGTACAAGGATTTTTAGACTGCTGATTCCAGAGCATAACAAACAAGCACAACAAATTACGATGTGACCAATAATTGGCATAAAGCTAGGAAGGAAAAAACCACCAACTAAACTAAAGGCCTATGTTTACAACTATGCACCTAGCAAGACATACACACTGTAATCTTAGAGACGTGGACTTCGATTTTTTTGTAAAAAATCATCTTTATACTTCCAGTTTCTTTAGCAAAGGTACCCGTTAGGAAATACACTTCAAAATGTCACACGCTTCATGCAAGTATCTCATCTAAACATATTTGAGAGTAAAATATAAATCTTTGTAGTTTAAAAAGAGTTATTTAGCAAAGAATAGGGAAAATCAAAACTCACCTTCTAAACAGGAAATCTGATAAAATGACGTCACCAACATCTCATCTTGCCTGAGATTTTGCACGAGATTTGAAAAATCCGCGAAAGTCAAATAAATGGCGCTGAAAATACAGGTTTGTAATATTAGCTTTATTTAGGAAATTGCTTAGGATACATTTGAAACACCATTGCTTTTTGATACATGTAGTGTGGCCCATATTGTTTAGAACAAGGCCTACAGCCAGTACAGGCTAGGCCTAGAGGCTACCCCCATAAATGTGGGGTTGATTTTTCTAATCATCCCTGATCTCACCACATGCTATCTATTGCAAGACTAACGCCTGGTGTAACCGTCACCATGTTATTCGGTGTTTTTTAAGTAGCGCAAGGATCCTGCCATGACTGTGGCAGTGTTATTTTGTAAACCTGGTATAACCGTGACAACGCTGTATTATATTGCAAGGCCTGTCATGACCATGAGTGTTATCGTGGAAGCCTGGCGCAGCCGTAGCCTTTACGTTTAATTTAAGAATTTTTTATTGTTGTTTGTTAAGCGATTTGTTTACTATCCACTTTTAAATATTCGTATATTTGTATATTTTACCAGAGACATTATACGTCTCTGTCTTTATGAATGTTGACCCAAGCTGCCCATGACTGTGATAATGTTAAAGCCCCGTATGGCCGTGACAATGGTTGCAAGGCCTGTCATGACCGTGGTAATGTTAAAGCCTAATATGACCGTGACAATGCTTATAAGGCCTGTCATGACCGTGGTAATGTTAAAGCCTGATATGACCGTTACAATGCTTGCAAGGCCTGTCATGACCGTGACAATGCTATATTATATTGCAAGGCCTGTCATGACCGTGGTAATGTTAAAGCCTCGTATGACCCTGACAATACTTCCAAGGCCTCTCATGACCGTGGTTGTATTTAAAGTAGCATGAGAACACTGTAATGACAATTTTTCTTCGTGTTTAACTACCTTAAATATGTTAATAAAGACTACTAAAAATGTGTATTAATTTCACAACGAAAACCTAATTTTTACTCATAAATAATTTGCGAACAAACTATATCTTTACTCTCATTCAAGGAGCTTCGATTCGAAAGCATATACTTTCTATAATGATCAATTAATAATTTAATAAAATTTATCCATAAAAAATACCAACAGCAATGGGCGAAACATGAAGGTCATTAATGTCATATAAAGGTTGCGGTCGCGCCAGGCTTACACGATTACACTACCACGGTCATGGCAGGCATTTTAATATAATACAGCATTGTTGCGGTTATACCAGGCTTTCACGATAACATTACCACGGTCATGGCAGGATCCTTGCGCTACTTAAAAAACACCGAATAATATGGTGACGGTTACGCCAGGCGTTAGTCTTGCAACAGATAGGGTCTCGATCTCACTGATCTACATGTACTTTGAATTTAAATATAATAAGCAATCAAATAACGTATATTGCAACAGTATATTAAAAAATAGAAACATACGTACAAGTCCTAAATTTTGTATGTTTCAGGTTTTTTATGTATAATGTGCAGCAAAGCTGTGGCCGTCCAATCAAGCAAACGACCAAATAACCAAGCAACAAACTAATCTACCAATAAACCAACCAACCAGCAAAAAAATAATCATCACCCTGTCAATCACTCAGGCAATAAAACAAGCAACCAACATCCCAAGTCATTCATCGTACGTTAATTGACAGATAAAAAACATTCAACTATTAACATTTCAAGATCGTGTGTATATCTTCCAGATTTGTTTAATATCTAGTAGAAATTGCCATCATAAGAAACAATCATCAACATTCTGTTAATCACTCACTCGTAGGCAGAAAAGCATAGCAACTATAATGTCATCTTAAGTTAAATGACAGATAAACAGCAACTAATGTTTCAATATACGCGTGTAGCTTGTGCATACTCTTTCACATTTGTTTAATTTCTAGTAGATATCTCCTCCTCCTCCTCTTATTTTGTTTGATTTACGGCCATGATAATGGGTTATTTTGAAATATGGACGTTATTTGACCAGTCCTGTAAGTTATGTAAGTTGGTAACCCTGCTAGGAAAGTTAGGTACCTGGTCAGTGTCATCCGGTCACCCGTTTTTTTACACAAACCCAATTTAGGGAGTGTCAGCCATGTTAATTTTTTCGAAAATAACATAGCAGAGAAGTATCAAATTAAAAGAGGCCACAGATATAATAGTTCAACAAGTTAAACTTAATCCTGCTTATTCATTAATCTGATCTTACTTGAGGCCGGACATCTGTGATATGTTTTGAAAGGTCGCAAATTTTGAATCGATTCAAATACATTTTCCTTGATAAAAGGTGACAGATACTTGAAGATAATACGTAAAGGATGATAATAAATAATGAAAACATTGTATTTTTGGTTTAGACGTTCATTTCTATCTACGAGTAAAATGAGGCTACACTTACCGATTTCTAAAATGAAAAATCTGACATTTTGTCTGTTCGTCCCCGCTAAAATCAAACGGAACGAAATTGTTGTCAACTAAATTGATAATTACTATCACGATTATACTTGGGACAATAAGGTCAATTTCAACATAACATGTATCTTTGATTAATTTATAGCAAGTGTATACACGCAAAGTTGTTATTTATTGAAAACCTACTGTTCGTTTCTTCATTGTCGTTTTCTGATACGATTTGCAATTTCGACGTTGACAGAAACTGACTGGCATTTTCTGTTGGTTCCAAAGCGGTCTCTTATATTTTCGTAATTATACATGAATATGGTCACAGGGGGATGGTGTGTATTGATTGATGAGGTATGTATGCTTGTTTGGATCATATTATTTATAAGATATTTACATGAAATCAGGGTTTAAATAGTTCCGCATGTCGAAACCTGCAGAATGTTTAAATTAACGCTTCAAAGGCAAAATGATCATGGAGGTTAGACCTAGTCGTGGCCATAAGACTTGACAGATAAGAAACGAGGCTCCTGACTAGGTCTAATGTTCTTGGACTACAGATATAATAGCTAAACTACAATACAAACTAAAATATACAAAAGTTAGGGCATGTATAAATGTTTCTATTATTACATATTCTGTTTCAATATGGTCCTTTAATTGCTTATTTTTTAGATTCAAAACATTTGAAATTTTACTGTATTTGTGTATTGAAATATTGTAGTTGAAAAATGTTGTCAGTATTTGACTTTGACACAAAGCTGAATTTTGTTTAAATAACCATCAATCCAGCTTATTTTCAACTACAAGATTTCAATACATAAGCAGTTGTGGGGTGATTTGAAAAATGGGGGTAGCTAGAGGTTAGACCATGGGGATGGGCATGGCACTGGTTATGCTACGCCGCCTAGGCCTATATTATGATGGGCTTTCTTGAAAGATCATCAGCTTACATCGCCTAACTAGATAACATTATGAATATAAAATCCTAGTAAAATTCAGTCCAAACATGACACGACAGAGACAGCAGTCAGGGCTTGCATTAACGGCGTCCCGTACATGTTAAGGACTCGAAAATAATTTGGAGGACGCAAAAATTGAAAATATTTCCGTTTTTTGAACGCAAATTTTATTTAGGTCAATACTACAATGTGTTTACAACGATACCTAACAAAAACAAATAATTATGATCTCTCACCTTTATTTGAATCGTAAATAAGGCTCAACGTGTTGAATATTTACAAATAATCATCATTCTCTCGAATTTTTTGACTTTGTCTATTTTTAGATTTGAAACCATGACACACCAAAGTTTTTCCTATTCAAAAACAATAATTTGGTTATTCATGAAATAAAATGTATTCATTGTCGAATGAACGAACATGCATTTATTCAGTACGTACTTAACGTTTACTTCTGTTTTGAATTCGCAGCAAGAAATCAAAAACTGAAAGGTGTTTTGGTAAAAAATGCTTTTAAAATAAAGTTATACCTCAAAACAGGCTAGAAATAGGGGACACACTTTTTTTCAAAGGACACACTTTTTAAAAAAAATTGCGTCCTTGGGACTCACAAATTTAATAACCTAATGCAAGCGCTGGCAGTATTCTCAGCATGGACTTACTCGAGTCTTTAGCCAATTCTTGGCTAGAAGTAATTCCATCTGGAACACCGTGAACTATTCTAAAAATTCTGGCCGGGGTTCAATAAATTTAAGTAAGATCCTAAAAACCATGTTAAGGTGCCGTGGTAATTAACAGGAAGTGACAAAACATGTGGCATTTTCAATGTTAATGCAAATCAAGCTTTGGATCATACTTGATTGAGTGTGTAAATAACATGTTTCAATGATTATTTTTTTCCTTCTTAATTAAGCATAGTGAGCCTTTAAGTGGGGGTTTATTTCAGTGCATAATTTCAGGTCCTTGTTATAAATCAATACGTCAATAAGTAGATGACATAAATGAATAGAAATGATAAATAGGAGTTAATTAAAGTCTATTCAAATTCTATCACAAATTCTATTTTTATTTATTTAACAGTGGCACTCTAATATTAATGTGCATCTAATTGAAAAATATTCTGCTTTAAATGGGCTTATTAAGATAACTCAAATACTTTGTTCTTTGGGATTTGCTACTCCATGGAGTTGTCGTTTTCTAGTTCATTTTCTCTGTGAATAAGTAACTTTCAAACAAATTATTGTGTGAAAATCTTGAAAATCACTGTATGTCAAAAGAGTTGACTTCACTTTTAAGCCTATTAACAGAATTTAGAATATACAATGCTTACTGCTATTACTGTGAGTGTACCTACTGTGCTAAGTCAATAGAATAGACATAAGTAGAAATAATCCTGATTTACACTGTGTATGCCACTAAATATTCAAAATTTAGTCAAAGCGATATCATATATGAAAGCTATATATAAAATTACACTTAGAATGTGGTTTTAACATTTTAATGTTGGTTTTTAACTTTCAAATTTTAATTTTTTTTAATATTTAAATGTTATAAAATCATGAAAAGTATAGCCAATTGTATTGACTGGCATTTTGTAAAATATGAATTCTCTCAGGCAAAGTATAAACTTGAGTATAATATAATTGTTTGTGCTTCATATGAATCCTTGAATACATACTATGTAGAAATTAATATAGATGACATATGTTCCTTTCCAGATAAAACCTGGCCACAAAGTCAAGCTGACTTGACTAGAACATAAAGATGGCAGACTACAGAAAGATCCAACACACACTGGGTCTTATGCAGAAGAACCTGGAGTGTTCAATATGGTAATGTTTGTTCATTGCATTCAACTGTTCATTGCATTCAACTGTTCAATATGGTAATGATTGTTCATTGCATTCAACTGTTCAATATGGTAATGATTGTTCATTGCATTCAACTGTTCAATATGGTAATGATTGTTCATTGTATTCAACTGTTCAATATGGTAATGATTGTTCATTGTATTCAACTGTTCAATATGGTAATGATTGGTCATTACATTCAACTGTTCAATATGGTAATGTTTGTTCATTGCATTCAACTGTTCATTGCATTCAACTGTTCAATATGGTAATGATTGTTCATTGCATTCAACTGTTCAATATGGTAATGATTGTTCATTGCATTCAACTGTTCAATATGGTAATGATTGGTCATTACATTCAACTGTTCAATATGATAATGATTGTTCATTGCATTCAACTGTTCAATATGGTAATGATTGTTCATTGCATTCAGCTGTTCAATATGGTAATGATTGTTCATTACATTCAACTGTTCAATATGGTAATGATTGTTCATTGCATTCAGCTGTTCAATATGGTAATGATTGTTCATTGCATTCAACTGCTCAATATGGTAATGATTGTTCATTGCATTCAGCTGTTCAATATGGTAATGATTGTTCATTGCATTCAACTGTTCAATATGGTAATGATTGTTCATTACATTCAACTGTTCAATATGGTAATGATTGTTCATTACATTCAACTGTTCAATATGGTAATGATTGTTCATTGCATTCAACTGTTCAATATGGTAATGATTGTTCATTGCATTCAGCTGTTCAATATGGTAATGATTGTTCATTGCATTCAACTGTTCAATATGGTAATGACTGTTCATTGCATTCAACTGCTCAATATGGTAATGATTGTTCATTGCATTCAACTGTTCAATATGGTAATGATTGTTCATTACATTCAACTGTTCAATATGGTAATGATTGTTCATTGCATTCAGCTGTTCAATATGGTAATGATTGTTCATTGCATTCAACTGTTCAATATGGTAATGATTGTTCATTGCATTCAACGTTCAATGTGGTAATGATTGTTCATTACATTCAACTGTTCAATATGGTAATGATTGTTCATTGCATTCAACGTTCAATGTGGTAATGATTGTTCATTACATTCAACTGTTCAATATGGTAATGATTGTTCATTGCATTCAACTGTTCAATATGGTAATGATTGTTCATTACATTTAACTGTTCAATATGGTAATGATTGTTCATTGCATTCAGCTGTTCAATATGGTAATGATTGTTCATTGCACTCAACTGTTCAATATGGTAATGATTGTTCATTGCATTCAACGTTCAATGTGGTAATGATTGTTCATTACATTCAACTGTTCAATATGGTAATGATTGTTCATTGCATTCAACTGTTCAATATGGTAATGATTGTTCATTACATTTAACTGTTCAATATGGTAATGATTGTTCATTGCATTCAGCTGTTCAATATGGTAATGATTGTTCATTGCACTCAACTGTTCAATATGGTAATGATTGTTCATTGCTGCATTCAACTGTTCAATATGGTAATGATTGTTCATTGCTGCATTCAACTGTTCAATATGGTAATGATTGTTCATTGCATTCAACTGTTCAATATGGTAATGATTGTTCATTGCATTCAACTGTTCAATATGGTAATGATTGTTCATTGCATTCAGCTGTTCAATATGATAATGATTGTTCATTGCACTCAACTGTTCAATATGGTAATGATTGTTCATTGCTGCATTCAACTGTTCAATATGGTAATGATTGTTCATTGCTGCATTCAACTGTTCAATATGGTAATGATTGTTCATTACATTCAACGTTCAATGTGGTAATGATTGTTGTTCATTGCACTCAACTGTTCAATATGGTAATGATTGTTCATTGCTGCATTCAACTGTTCAATATGGTAATGATTGTTCATTGCTGCATTCAACTGTTTAATATGGTAATGATTGTTCATTACATTCAACTGTTCAATATGGTAATGATTGTTCATTGCTGCATTCAACTGTTCAATATGGTAATGATTGTTCATTACATTCAACTGTTCAATATGGTAATGATTGTTCATTACATTTAACTGTTCAATATGGTAATGATTGTTCATTGCATTCAACTGTTCAATATGGTAATGATTGTTCATTGCATTCAACTGTTCAATATGGTAATGACTGTTCATTGCATTCAACTGCTCAATATGGTAATGATTGTTCATTGCATTCAACTGTTCAATATGGTAATGATTGTTCATTGCATTCAACTGTTCAATATGGTAATGACTTCATTGCATTCAACTGTTCAATATGGTAATGATTGTTCATTGCATTCAACTGTTCAATATGGTAAATTATGATTGTTCATTGCATTCAACTGTTCAATATGGTAATGATTGTTCATTGCATTCAACTGTTCAATATGGTAATGATTGTTCATTGTATTCAACTGTTCAATATGGTAATGATTGTTCATTGCATTCAACTGTTCAATATGGTAATGATTGTTCATTACCAATCAGATAGTGTGTAATATGACAGTGAAATAATGATCTTTGTTACATCTAATGGACTGACCTGTTCCACAACTGCTGTTTACCTGGTCATTCATTTAGATTCGCAAATGCAAGTAACGCTAGTCGGCTTCCAGATTAACCTACTATTTTATTGGCAACTTATTTAGATATGAATAGTTCCTGCCACTATTCCATTCATATTTGAATGAGTTGGTCATAAAATAGTAGGTTAATTCGGTAGCTGACTGGCGTTAGTTACATTCACAAATACAAGGTTAGTTTCAGCCATGCCACTAAGTAGTCTCATTTTTATTTCCAGTCTGGAATTGATGAGGTCTCCAGTTTCTACGAAATGTGACCACCAGTTCTGTAAACACTGTATATCAGAATACCTGCAGCATAAGACAAGAGTGAAATGCCCTCTCTGCCAGAAGTTCATCACTAAAAGGTAAGTCTCTAAAGGTAGGCAGAGTACTAAATTAATTTCAACCGCATAGGCGTTTAAAGGTAGTTGCTCTAACATCTTGCTAGTCAGATTAATATGATTACATTTAAGTTTACTTACTTAATCTACTATACAACTGTTTTATAATGGATAAACACCAGTTTGACCATGAATTTACCATATTTTGAGCTAAAATAGAAAAATGGTCGTCATCACTAGGTCAGTTGATCAATCAGAAAAATGGCGGCCATAAATGAAACGAATGAAAAATTATCGATCTAGTCCTTATATTCAACTGTTTGGCATCATTCTCAACGCCTTGTTATGAATTTGGATAGAAATACCCAGCAATTTACGCTGACCCATGAGCTAAATGTAGTTATTTTGAGAAATTTGCAGGAAATTCGAAATAATTTGCATAGCAACCAAATATTCAGGGAAGACTGATGGCCTCACTGATGTCGTAAACCCGTTTTAATGCTTTAATAAATAATTGTAAATACAATATAATCTATTTTCCGTCAACTGACATTACAATAGTAAATAAATAATTTGAAAGTGAAGATATTTTAATTAATTATTTAAAATAAATGTGCATGGTCTATTACGTCATGATAATACGGGAAATATGAAATAGCCCGTTTGGAAAAAGGTCCGTCCAGAAAGCCAAGGGTAAGACTTCCTGAATAGAAACCATGTAGCCTATGTTTCATTCAAGACTTTTCACAATTGATTTGAATGATTATTGGCAAATATGTTCGACCATGAGATGTTAGAGCAGTTACCTTTAAGTCACTTCAATTTAGTCCAAGTCTGCCCATTTTAAATTGGTATAAAATTGAAATGAAATTGATGTGAAGATTTTAGAAATCTTTGAAATGACATATTTTTGGCATTCTTTAACAGTCGAATTACATGTATTACACTTTTACAGTGATTACATTTTAATGTTTTGTTTATTGAATGATGCTTTACTTTGCTTATTCCATTGAGTTATGTTTTAAACCATGACTACTTTTCAATATATGTATAATCCTTCTGTTTGTTCCAGGAGTTTAAGTGAGCGTAAACAGTTAACAGATATTGTAGATGGAGTAAGAGCTGTCTTAGAAGCTTTCAATCAAGATTCTGGGGCACCATGTGAGTTTTTTTATTCTGATAAAATGCGTTTGCTGGTTGTTCCATTGCTAATAAATTCAAATTTCAAATGTTTCACTTATACGAGTACTTCCCTTACACTGAGTGAAGGTTGAATAACTAAAAGTTGAAAAGATCATTTATATATTATTTATTCCAGACACCCCACCGAGAGGCCCAGTGACCCTTTCACAGATAAGCTGTACTCCTGAAAACATCAGATCACCGCTGGAACGTAAGAACCACAGTAGGAAAAGACTTGCACCTATAACTGAGGAGGTAAAATTGTTTGCAAGTAGATTGTATGTTTATTTAGATGTAGAGATATGCATCTATAAAATGCTGCACAATTTTAAATTGAAGTAAAAATTCCTTCTCACTGACAACAATCAAGCATGCCATATTTATGCATTTGTTCTTATTACACTTTGAAATACATGTACAATGTAAAATTGAAATGACCTTGTTATTATTATATTTAGGTCAAGTCAACTGATGCTCCAGTTTCCATTGTTGTAAAGAACAAGAAAAACATCAGAATGTCAACAAAGAAGAGAGCAAAACTTGAAAGTGGTAATCAGATTTATATAGAAGGTGAGCCATTTATAGCTAGTGGTGAACCATTGATTATATTAATGAATTGAGATGTGGAAAATGTGGAAATAATCTACAAACTCTTTTTATTCACACAGCTAGGCAAGGTGTGTCCAATTCCAGCCAACCAGAACACGTTTTTTCACGTAACTGCATTCCATTATAAAACCAATAATGAATTCAAGGTCACCAGTTAAATGGTTGTCATGGAGATGACTACACTTTACAGATTGGAATTGATTCTTTGCTAGCTTGGCCCATGCAAAAAACTTCATCAAAAATATGTTCTTTTTGTTATTTCATATCTTTTAGATGATTTTTTAGAAAACAATTTGCTATGTATGAAAAGAATTTCAGCCCAAGACTCAATGCATTGTGTAAATTGACCATTCCCTTCAGGCATTGTTTCCTAAAATTAACACTTGATGATCCACATCTCGTGCAAATTGGAAAGCATTCGCCTTCAAGGAATGGTCATTCAACATTGCATTGAGTCCAGGGCTTAAATCCTTAAACATTTCATAACAATTCTATGTATACATTTCATCTGAAATATATATATAATTTCAACATTTACTTGTTTTGTGGTTTTGAAAATATGCTTGGATTTTTTATAAGTGTGTCCAACATCTACAGAACCATAATCTATTGAGTTCAAATGTAAAATAAAAAATGAAATACAAGTATTTTTCAAATTTTTATATTTCAGATTGTGATGCCAGTGATACCATATCCCATGCATCTTCTAATACAAATATTAGGTAAGATAAAAGACATTTTTTCATTGCACGATTATCACACATGTCTAACTTAGCCAATAAATCATTGCAATTCCCTTCAGTAAGTCTTTCATGGTTTTAGTCATTAAACTTAGAAATTTAAGTTTACAATCGTACAGTATGGATGTATAAACATCACTTAACATTAACTTATTTTTACTTCCAGTTCCTGTATATCTGGGCCTGGAAATACCAGACAAAGAAAAAAGAAGACAATTATTCCAAAAATGCAGCCTAGTACCTCCAAATCAGGTTCTTTAAATCATAACGATTAAATGGAAAGACATAATAATGAATTGGCATCATTCCTTGAGAATGCTAACAGTCAAACTCTAGGAAAAGCACAAACCATTGAAGAGTTAATAGCTGGTGGGGACTCTGATACAACTGAGAGCCTATCAGTTAAAAGTGATCCAGACATGGATGAGCCTGTTGATTTAGGTACTGAAGAACAAAAAGACATCTTGGAATCAAATAATGCTGATGGAACTGAAGCACCTCTCTCACTTGAATCACACTACAGGGTCAAAGTCCCTGAGAAAGAAGACATTCAGTTCAGCCAAGCTGTCGCAAATAAACCTGCAGCTCAAATAGAAGAGGACTCTGATCCCAGGATTAGGCAATCAAGAGTGAAAACCACTTATTCAAAATCTTTAAAGAGACGGAACTTATCAAGTACTGTCCGAAAAAAACTGAGGGAAAACAAACTTGATGATGAGGATGATGATGATACTGTTGAGCATATAGATGCAACTGTGACCAATTGCGCTCCTGAAGTGAAAGAAAAAGTTGACAATTGGTTGAATACAAGTGCAAATGAGGAACTTTTGGATGGAAACCAAAACAATACAGAACTTCCTGGTGAAGTTGAAGGTGCACAAAAGAATAGATTTTTCAAATCTAAAAATCAAGTTGGATCAAAAATCAGTCCATCTTCATTAAGTATTTTATCAAGGAGAGATGAGAACATTAGTGAGCTATCAGAAGAGCCTGAGAGATCCCATGTATTTAGTGCTAGCACAATTGAGTACTCATTTGATCAGAATAATACAAAATCATCAAAGAGCAACAAAAAGGCTAAATTTGGTGATACTAAGATCACAAAAGCTAGAAGACAGAATGAGGTGCCTGAGGTTACAACATGCAAGGTGGTACCAAAGAGCAAATCTGCACCCACTGTTGAGGCAGAAATTGACCCATATACTTTTCAGTTTAGCCAAAGAACTCCTAAAGCTAAAAGTAAAAAGGTGAGAAAGTCCAAGAGAAATACAGCCAAGGGGAAAGCTGCAGTTGTTCAATCAGTTGTTATGCCCAAACTTGATGAGTCATCAAAAGTTTTAGTTGGAGACAAAAACATTACTAGCTTAGAAACTGTGGATGAAGAAATGACTGAACCCTGTAACATAATAGAGGACACTCCTGATGTCACGCCAAACTTAAAATCTAAACTCTTTAATGTTCCAGACCTCAAATCAAGCAAAAGCACTTCTGAAACAATTTCCAAACCAAATGAAACTAATCTGTCAAACCCTAAAAATAATTCCCATCATCAATACGAAAATACTGTCAAGCAGAAACCAAAAAGCTCTCGAAAGAAATTGCCTAAAAAGTCTAGTCCAGCTCCCTCAGTTCCTGATACTATGGAAAAAGATAATCTTATCGCTAAGATTTCTGAGGCAGAGGAATTTGACCTTGAGATGCTGAGTCAAGGCAAAGAATACTTGGGTAAAGGCATGTCAGAACTTCAGGATGATATTGAAGTTGAACCAGACAATGTGGACATAACAGTTGTAGCTGAAACCCCTTATATTCCATCTAAACTAGATCAATTGAAATTCCAGGCCAAAAAGAATAACAACCAATTTAATAATCAGTTGGTGAACAAATTAGAGACCTCTGAAAAGCTTGACCAGATAGTTGATGTAATCAAAAACCTGACAAATGAAATCAAGATTCAGAAATGTAATCCTAAAATTGCAGAGTCTCTTCAGACTAGCCTCCTTGATGTTGTTGATGCTATGAAAATAGACATAGCAGCTTCTGTAGTAGCCACAACAAAGGTGACCAACCTTGGGGAAAGCAATCATAGTATAACTAGAAATGAAGCTCAGGAATGGTTCAGTTTGAAACAAATGAAGAAAGATTTTTGTAAAAAGGCTAAAACCAAGACTTTAGTGTATGCAAATACAAAACCTCATAATGCAAGGCCTGATGCTCCAAAACCCACAATAAGCAAAGTTATTCCTTCCAAGAGAGATATCCATGTAGATACCCCTGAGAGTAACACAATGGAAGTTGACATTGAAGAAAATAGCAGTGAAAAATACCTCTCAAATGGTAAGTTTTATGTGAAATAAATAGGATCATGAATCTTCTCGATTTAACCATTAACATGATGTTTTCCTGCTACTATGATGATCACAGGGCAGGCATTTCAAAAGTGATTTTAAAACCTGATCCCTATGTAATGCCTACAATTATGGGGATCAAAATTCTTTAGAAAGATGTAAAGATAGTTTGGGGTTGTCCATTTGAGAGACAAGGATTGTACAGCAGCCAATAGGGTGGATAAAATGGGATCTGTGCCTGAACAAAAATATGGATGTTCAAGTTGAGATTTTACTGATACTGTATTTATTCTTTTTCAGGTGTGCCAAAACCCAGTGTGACTGTTGTCCATAGAGAGGATGAAGACTCAGACCAATCCATTGACTTAGCTGTTAGTCAAATACAAGGTAAATAGAATATAGGATTGTACATGGTAAAACAGAAATTTCATTGTTTAAATTAATGAATGCAAAAGTATGGAAATACAAAGGTAAAATGTATGTTTGTTGATATAAGTATTCAGTAAATTATTTAAAGATGTTGGTTCACATAAAATTTTTGGTTTTTCATTCAAACTGGAATCACCCAGTCATCCTTCAACAGTCTGAATATTACAAGATTACAATATTCATATCCTGCCATTTGACTGATACTTGTATCCATTTAATGTGGAAAATACTAATGTTTTACACCATTGGTACCAGCTCATTCTTAGCCTCGTTTTGGATAAATCAGCCTTTTCACCATTTGAGGTCACCATATAGTGTCAATTTTTGTAACCCCCTAAGAAGTGGTTCCATTATAACCACCATATTTTGTGACTGGCTGTTGTTCTAAGTTACTCTTATCAAATCATTTGTATAACAGGCCAGGTGTAGAGATTTATCATGTTGATGCCTTGTTTATTTTTAGCGCTAAACAATTGTAATGCTGCGTACAGTGCTTCTGAGGATGACAGTGATAATGACAATGATACAGCTTGGAATGACTCAGATCATGCTGAAAATGATGGTGTGCAAGGAACAAATGTTGTCAAAGGAGAATGTGATATCATGGATGATAAGGAAGTTAGGGGAGAGAATGATTTTACACGAGAAATTGATGCAGGAGGAGATGATAATGAAATCATAAGACAAGATGGTGCACTAGGAGCTAAATCTCCACCTAGTGTTGTTCCTGAACAAAAGACAGTTATACCAAAAGTTAATGACTGTGAATTGAATATATCCACTATTGAGACTCCAAAAATTAAAAAATCAAATAGGAAAACCTTCTGTCTTGGAGGTAGCCCAATTAAAAGGGCACCAAAATTTGATTCCCAGACCTTAGATATTGATGACCAAATTGTCATGGATCAAATTACTGTTAATGTGCAAAATGAAAATAATGGTGCTATGATAGAAACCACAGAGACAACCCAGTCTCAGCCTTATAAAGACAGACAGGTTAATGATCATTTAATCATAGAAGACACAGAAACATCTCAAGGTAAAAGTTCAAAATTGTTTAAATCCAAAAAGTTGAATGTTCAAACAACCAAACAGGCAACTAGCACATTGCCAGGAATGCTTTCATCCCCTACACCATCTTCCCTTGAAGAGGAATCCCAGGCAAGTGTGTCTCTTCTGCAGAAGCCAGCTCCAATAAAATCCAGTGATGTTATAATAGAGGGAACAAATCAGGACAAACAAAACATCAAAGACAGTCAGAATATAGAGAACATGGATGAGCAAAATGAACTTAAAGCAGACCAACCAAAATGTGCCATTCAAAAATGGAAGGAAGTTGAAATAACAACTCTCTTTGATGATGACAGTACACAACCTTCATGTGAATCTAATATGGAGAATGATGATCTTTCATCGGCGGAAAGAGATAATGATATCCATAAAGCACCTGTATCCGTTAAAACCCCAACACATCCAAACTCTCACGCCATTTCAAAACGTTCTGCAACACAGAATTCTTCTGAACTGAGAAACATTTCCCACAATGAAACTACTGGTCAAGATGATGACATTACTCATGATGATGATGTTATTTATAGTGATGATGCTAATAAGGATGATGAGGCAGAGAGTGATGATGATGAAATGAACAAAGTGCTTAAACAAATTAACAAACAAAGGAAAGAAGCAAGACAATCTCTAAATCACCATAACAAGAAAAGAGTTGATAGGTCTTTCAAAAGAGTAAAAAAATTAAACAGTTCCAGTGAAGATGAAAGCTCCATTGATAAAGTAGCAAATGAAATCACAAAGAATAAAGAAAAGGGATTTTCGAAAAGAACAGAAAGAGATGAAACTGACAGATCATCTGATGAAAATATTCAAGACAAGAGTATCAAAGCTAAAATTCTACCAAATAGACCTCCCATAGGAAGAAGTTCTGATGGTGTAAAATCCAGGAAAAGAACACCAGATAAACCTACAAAGGAAATGGATGCCTCTGATAGTAGCTCAGATGAAGATACTCCTAGGCTTACCAAACGTAAAGCGAAGACAACAAGAGGATTAGCAGCTAGAAGGAGGAAGAGAAAGATTGTGTCATCTGATTCCAGTCAAATGCCTCTCTCAACCCAAGAATATGACACAAACAAATCAATTCAGGACTCTACTATCAACAAATCTCACGATGAAAGTAATGATAATGAACCTAAGTTATCTCAAGAAAACATCATTAAGTCACAAAGTGAAAAACATGAAGAGAGCAAACCAGAGAAAATCAATGATAAATTAGCAGCTATTGAAAGTATTTGTAAAGAAGTGTTGGAGAATTCTCAGGACAGTGATACAGATGCAACTTGTGATAAGATTGATGATGATACTAATGTTGTCCCCCCTACACCTCCTTGTGAAATACCTACAAATATATCTCATGATATGGACAAGTTCAAAAAGCCAAAAACACCTGAAAAATCTTCTGAAGTATCAGATGTGGATGAAGAAAGTGTAGCCTCTGCTTTGTCACAGGAACTTCTTAAATCACCCTTTCTGATGAAATCAAGTAATATTACCAGATCTGGTGGTCCCAATGAATATCCTAAAACAACTGATAATGCTGAAAATGCTAATGTTCCATTGGACTCTGAGAATCCATTCCCAACTGATACCAAACTCAACCCTAAGGCAGTGAAAGTCAAGCTTGAAAAGCAGCAAGACAAGGATCCTAATGTGATATTTGCCATTCCCACTACTCCTAACCATCCAATTGAGGTGGAAGACAGAGATGTGGACTCTACACAAGAAAGAAGGAAGGTCCAAGAAAACATTGCCAAGATGGTTAAAGAATGTACACCAAAAGCTAAAGGTGAGACTTATATTTTAACTGATGAAGTAACCTATATTCCTTATATTTTATTCATTTGGGTATTGATAGTGCATTTTTCTGCAGTCCAGCAATATCTTTGATCTTATAGGAGTATATTATTCAAATTTTTAACTGTGCAATCTCCATTTTATTCACAAATAATGCACAGGCCAAGATGTCGTAAGGTATTGTTGATAAGGTTACTTTGTATCTCTCCTTCAATTGAAATCTGGCATAGGTGCATGCACTTGAATGTATTTAAATAACTTGTAAATTATGTACAGTGAAACCCTCAGAGACCTCAGCAAGCTCCAGAAGGTTACCTAGTAAGAAGAGACGAGGTAAAACGGATGGTGATGCAACTACAAATGCTGTAAAACAAGTGAAAGACAAGATAGCTGAGGATCTGTTTGGAGGTGATGAAGAAATCACGAGAAAATCCAGCAAAACAAATGGTAATCGGTTCACTGAGTTCAACTTTTCTACCAACAGAAAATAAAACAAAGGGATAATTTTCCACCGTTCTTTTTTGTCACCACCAAAGAGTGGTTGTTATGGTCTCTTTTTTGTGATGGCGATTTGTTTAGACTGACTTCAATTTTTTTCAAAATCATCTGCAACTTCTCAGAAGTTCAAATCTGATTTGAGGTTTCAAGGCCAAAAAGGTCTTTTTTCAACTTGCTTAAATTTTTTTTCAAAATCATCTACAAGTTCTCAGAAGCTCAAACCTGATTTTGAGATTTGACCTTCTCAAGGTAAAAAAGGTATTTTTTCAACTTGCCTCAAATTGACCAATTTTATTCAAAATCATCTACAAGTACTCAGAAGTTCAAATCTGACTTAAGATTGAACCCATAATATTGTGAGCAACTAGGTGGTGACATTTTGTCATGTTAATGCCTTGTTATGAGTATTGTGCCATATATGAATACATACACTTCTGTTTACTCTGCTTAAAATAGTATTTTCAACTTACCATGACTTGTTTCAGGCCATGGGTTCTCTGAGGAGAGTGAGTATCATGATGCCTTAGACGAGATGGATGACCTCCTACCTGTCAATAACACTCCTAGGACCATCAACATAAGTGATGACTCAGACGAGGACATGTTCAGTAGCCCCTTGGCATCCTCCCCTGTCACCCCCTCACTCATTTCAGTTACCCCCTCACCTATAGAGCCCTCACCCATGGAGCCCTCACCCATCCAAACCACTCTTTCCCAATACCAAACCACAAATCAGAGATCCCAAAAATGCAAAATAGAAGTTAACTCCAGAAAATTGAATGAGGGTGTTGATGATAACAATAAAGTTGATGATAATAATGATGACAATGTGGATGTAAATGACATTGATGATGACCAGGATGAAATCACTAACCCACAAGGAACTATAGACATATCTGCATCTTTGGATTCTAAACCAAGCAACAAAAAGAACAAACCAAACAGTGAACATACCATTGATATCACTGAGACTGTTGGTGAAACTGAAGACAAGACAAGTGATGAGAGTGCTGAAAAGTTAGAAACACTGCAGGATATGTTCAATAGTCCCATGGAGCTTGAGAATTGCATCAGTCAACATAAAGATGATGCCTCTAAACCCGGATTGAACAAGAAATCAAGTCAAAAAATGCAGAATTCTACCAGGGAGAACAATCCACCATATAGCTTGGATAATGAACCTGATATTATTCCTGAGAGTGAAGACTTTATTAGGGGTACCCCTAGTCAAGCTAAAAAAACACCTTGTCTCTATCCTAATAAAACTACCCCTCGCCCCCTTGAATCAGTGAGTCACCTCAATACACCCAAAGCTGCCACCAAAGCTATGACCCCTGAGCAGCGTAGTGCACACCTCAGGAAGGCATTTCAGGCTAAATATGAGAAGCAAAAGGCATCCGCAGAGGCTGTGCTGTCTCCTTTAAATGACAACCAGAATGTTACACCTAATAGGGCTAGGTATATTGCACATAACCAGAGTGTAGCTAAAGTTTTACACAAAGCTGAGTCAACTGAATCTGAGATGAAATCAACCAATGTTAAGCTGTTAAAAACTGCTCCCACTTCATCTGTGAAAAACACAACTGAGTCGGAGAAAACTAATCTCTCCAAAGTTGAAAGTACATTCAACCCAGATGGTGCTACTGTTAAGGCTAGAAGTGATAATGAGACAGAGGGAGTTGAGAAGGCCACCACCACAGGCTCTGCTGATTACAGTAAAGTTCTGAGGAATAAATGGAATGTCCCAGTTCCATCTAAATGGATCTTTGTGACAACAGGCCTGTCCAAACAGGAAATGGTAATATTTCATTTTTTCCACTGAAATTATTGAGTATGAACCAACAATTTAGAAAAATAGAAATGCACTGTAGTAATTTGTGTGCCAGATGACTTGTGCTAGATTAAAACTCAAGGACTTAGACAATTATTTTGTACATAGTGCTGTAGTGGCAGTTAATGTTAAAAGTGTTTATTTTAATGTCAGTTTCCCAAGGTAATTATTCAAGGAATAAAACTGATATGAAATATAAAAAAGGATATTGGATAAACTCTTGATAAAAAATATGTCTATTAGTGTTTTGTTTGAGTTCCATTGAAATGTTGATGCAATAATTACCAATGACATTATGCATATCATTAGATTTAATTTGGCCTTATGTTTGCTTTGAATTTAGATGCATGTGCAGAAGCTGTGTAAATTATTAAAGTGTCGCTGGAAGCCACGATTTGATAAAACGACCACGCATGTCATTGTCAAGACAGGTATGTCACTTTGAATTCTTATGCTGCTAGTGGTCATACTATTGTATGGTGATTATCCCATTGAACAAAGTTCATAGAGATAGAGGGAATGCCTCCATCCGTCTGTCTGTCTGGCCAATAACTTAAATACCATTGGCTCGATTTTGTTCATGTTTTGTACACATATGACATTGCCCTACAATAACCTAGGTACAATATATAAAACTGTAATAGCCATATATGTTTTAAATGTAAAATAGTTATAAAGGACATTAATAAAGCTAGAAATGTAGATATTTAGGAAACACATACCAGCAATCTTGAAAAATGATGGCCTTTACACACTATTTTATGATTTTTGAACTTGAAAAGTAGTGTAGCAATTTTGTTCATATTTATTTGTGAATATTCATAAGCTTGGCACACTATTTTATGACACTTTGGCTAGAAGGTGACCAATATCGATTTTGATGAAATTTTATATGTGCCTACTTATAAAATGATGCCCATTTTTATGAGAGTTATTTAAAGATTTTTGCTTTAACTGATAAGTAGAAAGATTTTATAAAAATTTCAGCCACAGCTGTTCAATGGGATTTGCTATGCTTTGGCACTGCTGTTATCTTTTTTTCTTTGAGGATCAGTAATTCCTGATTTTTGCATTAAGAGACAAAGTATTTACATGTACTTGCATATTTGAAAACAATGAATATTTCCTTAAAAATTGAAAGTTTGTATTTACTGAATGTACAACTTTATTGGGCTTGCAACTGCAAACAGATTGGATGATTTATAATTAATCAATTAGTTCTTGTGTCTTGTAGTGAGCCCCGAGTCGCTTGAATGTGAAAGGACGTTGAAATATTTCCAAGGCATTGCTAACCAGTGTTGGGTGATGTCTTATACCTGGATTTTAGACTGTTTAAAGAACAGCCGTGTGTTGACACTGGTAAGTTTTGCCCTTTACAAACTAGTTTCCCAGTTGCTTAACTTTATTATCCAACCGAATGTATTTAAGAGTGGGATTTCGCATTGACCATATGTCCGTCCATCTGAATGTCTGTCTAGACAATAACTCGTATACCGATTAAAAGATTTGGTTCTATTAAATTTAAATTCAAGGATGTGATATCGTTCACCCTATGTCTTGTTATCCGAAAGCAGTTTGGTAGGGATAACAAGACATTGTCAGAGTTTTTCACCCTGACCCCCAGGGGCCATATGTGGGGGGTCGGGAAAACATAAGTTTTTGTTAATTTTGAGATCTTTCTGAAGTATAGGTTTATTATACTCAAATGACAAAATAGAGTAGATTGGAAATATTGAATTGTTTTTCTGATTCGGCTCGTGTAATTCAAAATGGCAGCCTAATGTGGGATTTTGCCATAATTTTCTGATATCTTCGAAGTATGGTTATATTATACTCATTTTGAAGTAATTTAAGAATAGATCACAATCATGCCTTAGAAAAAACAGGAGTAGGACTTCGCTATTACTTAGAGATCTCTTCAAAGTATGGTTATATTATATATTACTTTATATTGTATTGTTTTTACGATTTGTGCCTTTGAAACTCCTAAATGGTCACATAAATGCTTAAATCTGTGGAAATTCTGATATATCTCTGTGTCTTTTAATATCTGCCAATTTAATCAAGGGTAGAGTAAATGGTACATTCTGATTTATACAGATTTGTGAATATAATGTGTTCGTTAGGATTTACTACCCTGGAGTTGCTAATTTCGAGATTTTTTATGTAACAGTGTAGATGACACCTTCATTTCATCTATGGTTTATGCTGCAAATTGAAATACAACACAATGCTATACAATACAGTACAATAAAATACATTACAATCTTCCATTCAATGTTCAATGAAGTAATGTACCTCTAAATTCCCCCTTCAACAAAATCTTTTATCATATTATCAGTTGAAATCATACTGTTGTTCAGTGTCTTTTTGCTAATATCTCTGTTCTTTTTATTGTTTATCCACATCATAATTCAGATTAGCATTCCTTATGGCAGTGCATTTTGCACTATGGTCATTATTTGATAATAATTCTGTTAGCTCAGTAACAGTGATATTATATTTTTTAAGCATTGATTTTCCACCTTGATCTCTTTGACAGATTCTCATTTAAAATAATACATTTATTTTCTATCATTTCCCTTGTTTTCCACGTTTACAAACCTATTATCAAGTTCACATTTAATTATGAGTAATTGATAAACTTCAAAATAAAATTAGATTCCTTTCCACTATTTGACTTTTGTTACAAAATGATTATTGGTTTCATTTAACCCAATTTTGAATTTTGTATTCCCTCCCCTTTCCTTTTGGCTTCTTTACTTGAAACATCCTTTGCTCATCTTGAGCAGCCATATAATTCCACTACTCTTTTATAAGGAGATTATTTCTTCAAACATGAAAAGAAGTAAAGGTTATAAATTTAGTTGAAGAACACTTTTTGGTATTGTGTTTTTTGACTTCTAAGAGAGGACATCAATTATAAAAACCAAACCAACGGATATCAATCTGAAATTCTATCATAACAGGTGAGTTTTTTTATTATTGTTTGTTCATAGACTATTTTTCATGTATTTGGAATTTGAAATTAAAAAGATTCCTTAATTATTGAGAAACTTATTCCAAAATTAGTGAGTGGCATTTTCATGTCATATTATAATTATTAGATCAACATTCTGTGAGAATATCAGCTAGATTCATTAATGTTTATGATAACTAAAGCACTTGTCTTACTTTATGATCACCCTGCACTTATTTTTGGCAATATTTACGAATAGAGCACCTTAATTTTATTCCAAATGAGAATAATTACCATGAAACATTGACAGTGAAAATTGCCTACTGACCTTATGAACTTTGATGGTGATTCTAGCCCTGTTATTTTCTAATCTTTTATCTAATATTCTGTTTGATATTGACCACATACATGTCAAGGAGAAATTGCACATTTAAAAGATACTGTTCAGACCTTGATCTACCATAACAATTTTCCATTTCAGAAGCACAATGCAAGGACAGGCATTTGGACAATACCACAACATGGGGTACTGGAATGGCACACATGATATGTATGGGGGATCCCCTACATTTCAAATGTCGCAGCAAATGGGACAATATGCTAACATTGGAGTCAGTGGTCCATCATTCGTCAACTCACTTCCACAAATGCAACCATCACAACCGTTAGTTTCACTAAATTTAGTGCAACAATTCCAGCTGTCGCTAGGCAGCCACATGTCGCTAGGAAATCCAATGACAACAAGTAACCAAGGGCAACCTCATCTTACCACAGTACAACCTACACAAAGTTGTGCAACAGAGATCATGAATCTTGATGCTACCCAGGGGAAAGAAAATCAGCCCCCAATATCTATGACAACAACTGAACCCACTAGTCCACTATCCAACTATTTGAACTCCCCACTGATGGACATAAATGCTGCCTACCCACTACCAGAGATAAAAATGTCAGACATTTCCGCCATTCTTCTTGAGGAAGAAGCCAAGTCTGATATCATAAATTCAGCTGATTTGTCTCCACTTGTGTCAACATCGTCAAATTATTCTGACAGTACATCATATGGAAGTTATGACACTGTATCTGACTCTAACTCAAATGACTCTGAATTCGGAGAATACTATTCTACCCAGACACCTTTGAGCTGTAACTGGAGCCCAAATCCTGATGACATGAACATGTCTGATGTTTCACCCCCACCATCAATTAACATAACCCATAAAGAATACACACAAAAACTCACAGAGGGAGCTTTAAGCAAGAGGCAAAATCGACGTCAGGGGCGTAAATTTGGAACATCGTCAGAATCATCACCACCAGCGGGAATTCACGAATCTGAGATGGTTAAGCTAAAGAAAGCGTGGCAAAAGACATTTCTCCCTCTGCCAAGTAAAAATTTGACTTGTCAGGTGTGCAGTAAAACTTTCACAACAAGAGCAAACCTGGGTATACACAGCAGAGTTCACACTGGAGAAAAACCATATGAATGTCCTGATTGTGGTAAATGTTTCTCGCAGAAAGCCACGCTGAAGACACACTCCAGGACACATACTGGTGAGAAGCCTTTCCAGTGTGAATCATGCTCAAGAGGATTCTCTGATTATTCAACTTATTCTAAACATGTGAGAATTCACTCTGGGGAAAAGCCATACAAATGCGACCTCTGTGATGTGTCATTTGCACAATCTGGAAATCTTCACCGACATCGTAAATTACATTTTAAAAAACAACTCAAGAAGGAAAGAGCTGCAATTTATTGATAAAATGACAAGTCGCATACATGTACATTCTTGATGAACAATGACCAACATGAACGATGATCTAGACCAGTTGATGTTTAAATGATTTTGTGTGTTCATATTTACATTTTTTATTCTCTGACTGGTATATGTAGTTAGGTGTGCATGTGTTTATCCAATAATCACACATTATATAATCAAACCATTGTATATATAACAAGCCAAATGTAAGTGTTTGCCAAAGTCAAAATGGCTTTTGATGTATGTCAAGATGTACTGAAAACATTTAAAAATAAAAAAGTTTTAATTTTGAAATGTGATTTCTTGTTTCAGTCCTTTTAAGTATAAACTCTGTCCATTACAATAGATGCCATGATTATTACAGCAATGGGCTTGCAAGGAATATTCATTTAAACATTGAAAATAAGTAAATGTGACCAGATTGAGTATGGAAATTGATTTTGGACAGTCATATCTTTCACCACGAGTACTTTCTGACCATAAATACAATGGATTTTTATTAAAACAATATGTTTTCTTTCAATTGGAGTCTGGGACAATAAAATATCAATCAATGCCACTTTTTTAAATTGTTACACTTTTTTTCTAAAGAGAGGATCTTGTTTTTCTCAATTTAAACATATCAAAAGTTTGTTTTTGGATCGAAAATTTATATCTTCAAAACTAGCCTCAATCCATTCTACGTTTGATGAAGTTTTAGACCCCTTGTGGAATAGTCTTTTTCCTATAAAAATCTGAAGAAGATCCTCTTTTGAGTTAAACGGTTCAACATTTTGAAAAAAAATGTTAACATTGTGTCCCTATTCATAATTTTTCAAATTGTTTGATTGATATTTTTATATCCTTATGAATTTATTTGAAAGATAACATATTGTGTTAATTAGAAATATCATATTTAAATTGGTAAAGTACTCATGGTGAAAGATATGAACATCAAAAATCATTTGCCATACTAAACCTGGTCCTTTTTATTTAAAAAGATTCTCCCAATAGATCCCAAGCTAGTTTCCCATTTAATTGTAAATAAGTCAAATATTTGATATGATTTCATGTTTAAGTGCATGGCAATGGGTTAATATTAGAGGAAATCATAGTTTGACAGTTTTTTTCCTAGAGTTTAAGCATTAAAGTTCCAATTTAACTATTTTTGTCAAACCAATTAAGATCAGATCACTGTTAAACAATTATGAAATGTTTCCAGGAGAACTATGAAATAGTTGGTGATGTGGTAGGAGGGAGTGATCATTCTGGGCCTTGTAGATCGAGACTCGCTGAAATTCCACTTCTGAATAACTATGAAATATGTTGCTATGGAGACTACACAGGACTTACAAAAGGTAAACTCATTCACTCGATTTGAGTATACAGAGATATATGGTGGCTTTAGTAGAAGAGGAACAATCTTTGATAAAGGAGCCTAAATGTAGAAAAAACATACAGTAAGCTAATAAAACGTAATTGCCAAATTACCTTCCAGATGTCACCATATATTCCAAGGTTCACTCACCTTCCTGCCAAACAGAGATTATTTCATCAGAGAAGTTGACTGTTGTCATCATTACATATCAGAGGTCTCCACATACATGCTTAGTCATATATATATTCATACAACATTCACACACACTATAGCAGAACTTATTACTAATGTTATATTTTTGCTCACATGGTAAGCCAATGGAATGACCAACTCATCGGGCATGTTGGGCCCCCTGTTCGTCCATGAACAATTTCCAGATAAATGAAAACAGCTTATTTTTTAAACATGTTTACACATTTTACATTCTTATATGTGTAAATATTGTTCTAGATGACTTAAAAGATATGCTAGCAGCATGTGGAGCTACTACAGTGGATGACCCAGATGATTTTGTCGTGGAGGCTGGCTGTACTCAAGTTATTTTAGCTGAGACGGCTAATCCTACCAGAGTGGAGCCACTTTATAATAGTAAGAATTGAACTTTCTTAGGCACCATATCATGTTTTTTATTTAATTACACACCGTTTGTGTGTTCGGCAAATCATCAAGAAAATCCTGTCCATTAAAGTTTAAAATATGTTTTTATGTTTATTGAGAATAAAAAATAACCTCTTAGAAGACTTCCTATAGGAAAAAACCCTGAACTTGGTTAAAGTATTTAAAATATCTTTAAATCTGAATTGCATTGTTGATACCTCAAGAACAACTTAATTTTGAATTTTGCTTCATTATCCCATTGAACGAAGTTCGGAGGGATATAGGGAACGCCTCTGTCCGTCCTTCCGTCTGTCCATCCGTCCGTCCGTCCGTACGTACGTACGTACATCCGTCCGTCCGTCCGTCCGGGCAATAACTCAAATACCGTTGGCCCGATTTTGTTCATATTTTGTACACATATACCCTATGGAGGTAGAAGTTCTGCTCGAAAGCAGATTTTCAAAATGGCCGCTCATTTCAAAATGGTGGCCATTTTAGTGCCGAATTTACAGTAATTTAGATGCAATATGTAAAACTGTAATAGCAATATGTTTTAGATGTAAAAAAATTATATAGGCCATTAATAAAGCTAGAAATGTAGATATTAAAGAAGCACATGGCAGCCATCTTGAAAAATGGCGGCCTTTACTCTTTATTTTACGATTTTTGCTGTAACTCGAAAAGTAGTGGAGCGATTTTGTTCATATTTGGTATGTGAATACTATAAGGATGGCACACTGTCTAATGACACTTTTGGTAGAAGGTGGCCATTTTTCAAAATGGCCACCATTTTAGCGTATTTTACTATAACTCGAAAAGTAGTGGAGCGATTTTGTTCATATTTGGTATGTGAATACTAAAAGCATGACACACTATCCTATGACACTTTTAGTAGAAGGTGGCCATTTTGAAAAAAAATTTGAAAAATGGCCGCCATTTTAATGTATTTTATAATAATTCGAAAAGTAGTGAAGCGATTTTGTTCATATTTGGTATGTGAATACTGTAAGCATGGCACGCTGTCTAATGACACTTTTGGTAGAAGGCGGCTATTTTTAAAAATGGCCGTCATTTTAACGTATTTTACTATAACTCGAAAAGTAGTGGAGCGATTTTGTTCATATTTGGTATGTGAATACTATAAGTATGGCAAATGGTCTAATGACACTTTTGGTAGAAGGCGGCCATTTTGAAAAATGCCTGCCATTTTTGCTATTTACTTTGTTTGTAAAAATGCCATCCATGGCTGTTCGATGGGATTCGCTACGCTTTGGCGTTGCCGTTGTTCTGGTTGTTCATGCATGGACTTTCTTCCCTAGCTAGTTTTGAGTTCCCCGATGGATAATGTTAACAGTTAATATTGTTTGAATTGCATTCACTCTCTGACTGAACATCTGACAGAGATATTGCATTTGTAATAAAACATTAGGGTTGGCAAACATCTTAATATATTTTGAGAAATGTTCTGTCAATTTAGTACCCCAATATAATGCACATATTTTCTTTCCAGGTTTATACAGAAAGTATGGAATATTAGTTATATCCCGTGAATGGATTCTGGACAGTGTGGGTAGCTTTAAGGTATTGCCTTATGATGACTACTTACTGTGCAATGTACAGGTGTAGAAATAAAGACACAAACACAGGCTTAGCTTTACAAGCTGATGAATTAATGTACAAGCTAATGGATCAATGCAAGTACCCATGTACAATGTTTTGGATCCATGTACAAGTAGAGTCCATAATGTACAAGTGGAGTACTCAATGTACAAGCTTATTTATCAATGTACAAGTCGAGTATTCAATGTACAAGCTTATTTATCAATGTACAAGTGGAGTATTCGATGTACAAGGTTATATATCAATGTACAAGTGGAGTACTCAATGTTCAAGCTTATGTTTCAATGTACAAGTGGAGTACTCAATGTACAAGCTTATGTATCAATGTACAAGTGGAGTACTCAATGTACAAGCTTATGTATCAATGTACAAGTGGAGTACTCAATGTACAAGCTTATGTATCAATCTGCAAGTGGAGTACTCAATGTACAAGGTTATGTATCAATCTGCAAGTGGAGTACTCAAGGTAAAGCTTATGGATCGATGCACAAAGTAATTCATGTATGAGTGGCGCTCTAAATGTACACAAACATAAATTAAATCTATAAAATACATTAGAATTTTCAAGAATTTAAATGGCCTCAATTATTGAAATGATTATACCTAATGGCATTCAGACAATGTGCAAAAATTGTTTCTCCCTGCTATGTGGATTTTAGTGATGAAAGATTATGAACATAAGTACTATGTTATGAATGTTGAAAATATATTATGAAATCATTGTACATAACAGTGGAGAACTTCTACAAATATAAATAAATGAATCATGATATGAATAAAATAAGATATTTTGTTTGTCATTCTTATGGATTAAGGAATAAAACCATGAGGGAATAAGAATGTTCAAAAACATACTCTGACAATGAAAGTTATAAAATTGCTCTTCAGGAGGAAACCCAAGTTAATTGCTGATAATGTTGAAAAACTTTGGCAATCAGCTGACTGTGTATATCTATGTTATTATTAGAAATAAATCGATAACATAAAAAGAAAAAGTAGGAGACCAATGTAAACGGTCTATGTTTACTGTTAACTAATAACTATATTTATTCTTAAGTTCAGACATCCCCCTTCGCCTACTTCTTACATTCCATTTTTTGTGTAAAATTGCCTGCTTTATATATATCCTGGCAACTGTATATTTTCATTTAGATGCCTAGTGTATACTAATCTTTCTTATTGAGAAACCTATGAAGATTTATTTATTAAATAAATCTTGTTCATATGTTTCTCAATAAGAAAGATTCTTGATAGCAATATGGGACAAGGCTAAACATCAGGTCAATTGAAAGCTCATTTTGAAGTTAAATCACTTAATGCAAACAAAACTATGTGTTTCATATATAGTTTACATGACATTTATTCTTCATATTACATAATGGAAGAAAAAGTAATAAATAAATTATGATACGGATTGATCTTCATTAACATCAGCATGGTTGATGGCCATGCTTTGCAACAATGCAACAGCATTACAGTATTTTATTAGACACACCTCAGACATAAGCCTATCATGATGAAAAATGCTAAATATGATATACATTAACAAGCACCGTTTTTACCTCTATATCAGTTACACAACTTTTACTTTGTTTTTTAGTAGGCAGTACTACTCATTTGAATGTGTGAAATTTGTCTATGTTCGATCACTAACATTAACATTCAATACATTATGAATATCAAATATTATGTTGTAAAATGGCAAAAACTGAAGAATGCTCTGGTATTCAAGAGGAAGTACTAATATACAAGGCCATACATATTCCCACCATTTTATATCAAGCTTTATATAAATCTGAAGCTGATCTCAAATGGATAGGATCCAATTTTCTAGAGGTGAAGGTCTATAATTACCCATAGTGCACAAACCACATGTATTCAGTGGTAAAAGCTAGTGATTATGTTTTTTAAAAGTATATATTCTTCAGATATTCTTCAATACAAACAATATCAAGTTAGGCCTAACTAACTATATTTCCAGGTCTAGACTACAAACAGTAGTGATCTCCCCAGCATTAGAACAACACAACTGAGTGATGCACTCTTGAAAGTTAAACATTTCATGCCACCTGGGGAGATCACTGCACATGGTGTCTTAAGTTATTCGAGATGGTAAATATTCAATGTAATTAAGACAGCATTTGAGTATTGGCAATGTTTCATTTAGCATATTTACATCAGTGCTCAAAATGTTACTTTCTCACACATTTCTTAAGTTAGCTCGTAATAGAGTTGAAAACCATAGGAGTAGTCACTACTAACCAGGTAAAGGCAGGTGATCTAATTGCTTCACCAAAAATTTACAGAAAAAATATCTTAACTGAAACTGTGAAAAAGATGCCCAATAGTAGCATTATTTTATTTCCGTCTTTACTTTAAAATTTAACTCACATATTTCTATATTTGCCTCACCTATTTAAACTAGCCTCACCTGTTTTTGGATCCTTTACCCCGCTAATCATGTATGATATCCCTTTAAAATCCCCCACTATTTGAATCTCTAAACCAAAGCATATTACCAATAAGGCTATTGGACTTAATTCACTTTTTCCCTTCAAGTTGAATGGAAGAAACTAGTGTTGTCGCGATTAATCGATACATCGCGATATACATCGCCAAAGCTGATTCTGGCGATGCATCGATGTCTGAAACAAAACATCGATGTTTTTAAAAAAATTTAATTTGCTAAAAATCACCCTTTCTTATCTTATTTTGATGCAAATCGCTTACCTATTTCATTCATTTTCTAATGTTTTCTGATATTCTTTCGCCTTAAAACTGTTTTACCTGGTCGAAATGAACCATTTATCTAAAAAAATTACTTTACTTTCATTTAACCGTTATTAGAAGTTCCCGGATGTACCAGCGTAGTCTGATTAATTTGTTCTGTTCGGTATTTTAGTGCATTAGAGTTCGGTATTTCAGTGCACTTTTCTCAGACTTTTTCTCGATGTGCATCGATGTTTACTATTGAAAATTGCCGATGCATCGATGTACGATTATGGCACATCGCGACAACACTAGAAGAAACCAGGGTCCCAGGGAAGTAGCATGCACATATATATTTTAGGAGCTGGTATAATCCTTCAAACTGTCATAAAGCAATATATACTACATGTAGTTGATATTATCACTTGCTGATGGCTTTTATCCTAGAGTCTATGCTTGCACAGTTGGCCTTGATTGTATCTATATTGGCTTTAAACGTACCCTCCAACTGGAAACAAGAAATAAATTAAGGAAGTGTAAATTACATACGGAATGTGAAAAACTTAAGAGTTACTTCATAAGTAATAAAGATAATTTACTATAAGAAATGTAGATTTTGACAGTAAAGAGTGAAATTGTATTATAACATGCACTGATATATGATTTGCAAGATCTTATTCAATTCAAGGTCATAAGACAGATTGCCCCATGCTATAACAAGCAACTTGTAAAATCCTCAACATATACAGTTAATTAGGAACAAATAGGCAACTGCCACAATTATCCAACATGAGGTGGGTTAAATTAATCCACTCCATCAAAATATTTTTGTATGCCAAACTTGATTCCAACAAGTAACACTGCAGACAGAATATTCACTTACCTGCTTCAACATGGTTCCATGGCTGGACAGCTGTGTGGTAATTGATTGTTGAGATGTGTCCAAGTGAGTCAGGGCATGGCTGAACTGCATGGCTTGTTCATGGAGCTCTTTCAAGGCAGACATTCTATCTACAACTTCAGGTAGGGTACTAGACACAGCCTCCCAGCGTTTAACAAGCTCATACAATTCAGATACCTAGAAAGATCAACATAAGATGTGTCTAAGTGTGGAAGAACTTGGCTATTACAATGATGTTTGGGCGAACAGCATGATCAACCACATAACAAATATCATTGAATATATTCAATACATTAGGTTAAATTGTGGCAAAAACATTGATTAATTTAAAGCAGTATGTCCAAAACAATTAAGATTCAGGTTTTTAATGTCTTACCTTGTTTTGTTTATCGACTTCTTCCACAGCTCCTTTCTTTTCAGTAACAATGGCCAGTCTCTGAGAGAGTGCTTGCAGTCTTCCCTCTATACTGTCAAGGTGGTCAGGTTCCAATAGACTGCTCCTTGCACTGATGGCTTGCACTGCACCCTGAAATAACACATATACATGATGTACAAAGGTTATAAACCAGTGCCTGTAGTCTTCCCTCTATACTGTCAAGGTGGTCAGGTTCCAATAGACTGCTCCTTGCACTGATGGCTTGCACTGCACCCTGAAATAACACATATACATGATGTACAAAGGTTATAAACCAGTGCTTGCAGTCTTCCCTCTATACTGTCAAGGTGGTCAGGTTCCAATAGACTGCTCCTTGCACTGATTGCTTGCACTGCACCCTGAAATAACACATATACATGATGTACAAAGGTTATAAACCAGTGCTTGCAGTCTTCCCTCTATACTGTCAAGGTGGTCAGGTTCCAATAGACTGCTCCTTGCACTGATTGCTTGCACTGCACCCTGAAATAACACATATACATGATGTACAAAGGTTATAAACCAGTGCCTGTAGTCTTCCCTCTATACTGTCAAGGTGGTCAGGTTCCAATAGACTGCTCCTTGCACTGATGGCTTGCACTGCACCCTGAAATAACACATATACATGATGTACAAAGGTTATAAACCAGTGCTTGCAGTCTTCCCTCTATACTGTCAAGGTGGTCAGGTTCCAATAGACTGCTCCTTGCACTGATTGCTTGCACTGCACCCTGAAATAACACATATACATGATGTACAAAGGTTATAAACCAGTGCTTGCAGTCTTCCCTCTATACTGTCAAGGTGGTCAGGTTCCAATAGACTGCTCCTTGCACTGATTGCTTGCACTGCACCCTGAAATAACACATATACATGATGTACAAAGGTTATAAACCAGTGCTTGCAGTCTTCCCTCTATACTGTCAAGGTGGTCAGGTTCCAATAGACTGCTCCTTGCACTGATGGCTTGCACTGCACCCTAAAGTAACACACATACGTGTTTACAGGTTATGAATCAGGACATTTACGAAAATATCTGCATCTTCTCTCCATCTTTGGGCAAACCATGTGGGTCAAAAACTAGATCTAATTGAAGAATTCAGCTTAATTCAAGCTCATATTTCCTCAATACTAGTCAATGCATTAGTTTGAATACTTTTGTCAAATAATGTGAAATTACCAGGTATAGTACATTACTGACAGTTGGAATTCAGGAATATAAGGGCCCAAGACAAATAGCACACTGACCAGAGTCACTTACCAATATGCTTTTAGAGTCTGTATCAGATGTAAGAGCAGACATTTTCTCAGGGCTCTGTCCTATCAAGGCCTCCATCCTCTCTAGCCTTTGATCCAAGTCAGCTAACTGGAACACAAAATGCAACAGTTAGAGCATGGTGTTGAATGGTAACAGTTAATGTTTTTACTTTTATTTTTTGTGAACTAAAATATCATAACAATCACATTAAACAGTTGTGATATGAAAGTTTCTTTATGATTACCAGCAGGTATGTGGAACTGATTATAAGATACTGGTTGTGTCATATTTACTGAGGATTCAGTCCAAATACAGTAAGTGCTCAGACACTCATGGTCAAGTCAATAAGCTGAATCAAATAGTTGACACGCTGGGTTCTTCTCAATGGAGAAACATTGACCACATATTGGACCATGTGATAACTTATATAAACTGAATGTCCCTAGTGTGTAGCACTGCTCCTCTCTGATCTTTCTAGGCAATATACATGTAGTGATATTTCTTGCCTATGCAACTACAACTTTCTAAAAGTAAGAGTGCTTGCATTGAGTATGGAAACTGGATCTTAACTCTGTCCTTCAACAGTATAGTAGGCATCAACAGGGGAACCACGTGAGGACTTATGCAGAATGAAAAGGCTGAACAATAGAAAACATAACACAATGCTTATCAGAGTCCGAAAGCCTAAGATGACCTAGTTGCTGTCTGTTGTCCCAGGTAAATCTTATGGTCATACACATACAGTTCAGGGTTGGGGCAAATCACCTTCCATCAGTATGTGTCCCCGATGAAAGTTTTGGGAAAAGTACGATTACAAGTATACAATATGTCTTATTATGAAAAGAGCTACAAAACTCACCCTAGCATTATGTGTAAATTTTGCTTGTTCAGGCTTGTAGTGTAATTCATATGTGATCTCAGTGCCATCTTTCTGTGTGGGCTTTCCTCCCTTCTCTGCGGGCTTGGGCGTCTTTACAGCATCTAGATGGGTCAGCAACCTCCTAATAGAATGGGAAGATATATTTCATTAATAAATCTTAATTCCAAGGAAAAACATCAATAAATACATGCAAATTCACAAACGTGATTCACAATCAATTTCAGAATATTTAGGGGAGAGGACAAAGTCCATTGTGTTTTTTAAATGTCTAATTATTTTTAAGACCTTTAAATTTGAAACAAGACATACAGTGATAAATATCAAAACTTAGTTAGATCTTGGCACTAGTTTGCTCTTGCACCTGTAAAAATTTAAGTTGTTTTGATTTTAAGTGTATGCTATGTTTATGTTTACTCAAATTAAATCATCAATTATTTACTTATGCAGCGCCCCCTGTGGATCCCCTAGATCTATCTGAGCATCAGGTCCCAATGTTTTCTCCAGGTGGAGATCAGTCAACTGGTTTTGGAGATATTCCACCTGCCCGGCTACCACCACCGGGTTAGTTTTGTCATTGGATTTCTCTGACTTCACAGTGGCCTAAAAACAATACAACAGAACTAAAGTACAAGACAGCAACTACTTGCCAATGGAGTAAATAAACACACCAAATGAAACATATTTTATCATATCACTCATTGTTTTGAATCTTACATAATTACAAAACAGAAAGTTCTTATTGATGATGCAAGATACATATATGATATCAAACTGAATTCAAAATAATCTAAGTAAAGGTAACAAGGTAGGAATGGGATTTACCTGAAGCTGATTAACTTCCTCAGCCAATTCTTGTATCTCACTCTGCAGCCTCTGGAACTTCTGTAAAGGTGTCTCTTTTGCTCCCAATCCAGCCTATATATGAAATAACAATATCAGCTTTAAATGGACTTATTGGCCTTTTGCAGATTGTTGACATAAACAAATTCTGATACTGTAGTCGGTATTTAAATTTATAAAGATTTTTCATGAAAATGGCATCAATTTACAATTAAGTAGCCAAATCTGAAATTCTTTTTCCAGAAATGTCCTAATCCCATAAGACTAAAACCACGGACAAAAATCTGATAACAGAAACCTAGAAAATTAAGTTGATATATGTACATACCAGTTCATATTCTGTTCTAGCATCATACCCTGTCCTAACACTCCTACTGACCCTGTCTGAGAAATCTAAAACAGGAATAAAAACATTCAGCATTAGTGCATTATCAACCACAGCCATAAAGAGGAATAATTATCTATAATAAAGTACACGTATGTTTATTTATCTCTCTCTCTCTCTCACTCCATATTTCTATCTCTCCATGATTAAAGTTATCAGAAGTAGATCATTCAATTTTGTTTGTGGAAAGAACTGACTATAGCTAAGAAAATAAATTGGGCTTATAAAATTCTAGAAAAACAGAAAATGGAATTGAGGTTATAAATTTCAGTTTATGTCTCTTGGATTAAATGATTCACCCCTTTTGGAGACCATTATATATCAATCAATTCAAGTTCCACAAGAAGATCCATTTCTTATTTTCATTATCTAAATAATTTTACTAACCAACAGCTTTGCCATCTATTGACTTGTCTTTGAACTTGCCAAATGCTTCTTTAGCATCTACACCAAGTTTTTCAACTGCATCACTCTCATCCTAAACCAAATGATTTTTATCACATTATTTTAGTTACAATTTTAGTAATGGTCAAAAACATTAATTCTAATTTTGTTTATGTTTGTATGCCATTCCATTTAAAGTAATACTTACTGTACTCCCTGTTAATTTCGCGAGTTTTGATTTAACTCAGAATTTCGCGACTATTATTTCGTGAACTTGCAATTTACCACAATCGCAAAAAGCGCGAAACTAAATCCCATATTAAAAAAACCAAGGGACTGAGAGTACAGTATGTTTGTAAAATTTTGAGCACAGTCACAGGCAAACAAAGAAACAGATTTCCTCTAAATCCCTCCTGTAGTTTGTTTGTGAAAATGAGCATGTATTATGCATGATATACCTCTAAAAGTTTTGCATAATCATACAGCATATTGAAAATTGATAAATTACCACGTACCCTTTCTTATTTACAGAGGGTACTTGCTTAAAACTAATCTTACCTCAACAGAATGTTGCTGTTCCGACTCAGGGAGTTCAGAAGTCTCATAGACATCTGGAGAATTATGGTCCTGAAAATAAAAATGAATACAATTTAAAAAAATGAAGCATCAAAAAACAAGAGTCTGTTAGTCAAATTACAAGTAATCCAAAACAAAACAAACATACAAAAGTTTTGTGTCTGAAATATGAATGTACTTTTTCATATACTTTATATTTCCATGTGGCCCTTTGATTGTTTATTTTTTTAGGTTTGACAAAAAGTAATTTTGTCACAGTTCTGTCAAAAGTGTGATTAACGAGATATAAGGAAGGGATTAATGATAAAGGAGTCATAGAATTTGACATTTGTCAATGAGAAATTGGTGTACAACCATGGGTCACCACACGTTGATCCAGGGTTTCGCGCTAGAGGGGGCATTTATATATCCCAAAAATGTGCGAGAATGAATGTCAAGCGAACGCCTAGGAAACGCACACTCCATGAAACGAAACAAAATCACTAGAAAAAAAACATGGCACACATTGTGCGCATGCGCACTAAAGTTTAAACCAATCAGATTATTTGATTATTTTGTACACATGAATTATTTGCTTCTGAGCACTTAGCATGAAAGCTAACCACAATAAACAAACCTGGCGGAGATTACCCTTACTTCATTTTAGTGAAATTTCAGCTCAAACTCGTGACAAATGCATTATGCATACACATATATGAAGCCTTGAAGACACTCATTTTGGTAAATATGATTTACAGTGTATACTTTTCTGCGGTTTGTGGGAGTTAGAAAATATACCAACTATACGACTAATTTGTATCAGCATTGTAACAACATTTTTTTCACTGACCAACCGCAACCTTAAGTAATTTGGAGACCCTATCTACTGCAAGACTTACGCCTGGTGTAACCGTCACCATGTTATTCAGTGTTTTTAAGTAGTGCAAGGATCCTGCCATGACCGTGGTAGTGTTATAGTGAAAGCCTGGTATAACCGCGACAACGCTGTATTATATTGCAATGCCTGCCATGACCGTGGTAGTGTAATCATGTAAGCCTGGCGCGACCGTAACCTTTATTTGACATTTATCACATACATGGTTGCTGTTATTATTTTTTTATGGATTAACCTTATTAATTGATCATTATAGAAAGTACGTGCTTTCGAATCGAACCTTCTTGAATAAGAGTAGAGATATAATAGTTTGCTCACAAATTATTTATGAGTTAAAAATTAGAGTTTCGTTGTGAAATTAATACACATTTTAGTAGTCTTGATTTACATATTAAGGTAGTTAAACACGAGGAAAATTGTCATTACGGTGTTCTCATGCTACTTTAAATGTTATTTAATACAACCACGGTCATGAGAGGCCTTGCAACTATTGTCACGGTCATATCAGGCTTTAACCTTACCACGGTCATGACAGGCTTTAACATTGTCACGGTCATGACAGGCCTTGCAATCATTATGACGGTCATATCAGGCTTTAACGTTACCATGGTCATGACAGGCCTTACAAGCGGGTTTTCGGAAAAGACCGACCCCACCGACCGGTCGGTGTTTTCCACTGGTAGCCTCAAAACAGGGTTTGAAGAAAATGTGTAAAAGACCGACCATATCATGTAAAAGACCGAACATATTTGTAGCCTTAGAATATTAATAATTTGATTTTGAATGTCAATCGTTGGACTAGGCAACGTTTTTTACCGATTTTGTACCATTTGTATTTTGTACAAATTGGTCATGACCGTCTCCTCTCGATTAATTGCCCTGCCTTAGGTCCTAACCTATCATTAACCAACCTATCGTTTCTACGGGAATCTATCCTAATTTTTTACTGAAATTTAACAATTTCGAAACAAAAATGATTTGTTATCGTCATAGCCTACTGAATACTGAACACGATAATAATGTTACATGCGTTCTCTTATCGGGATTAAAAGTGACTTACCATTTCAGTACACCATTAGAAAGCTTTTTTTTGTCATATCAAATGTAGTTTTTACCAGTTGACGTTTAACAACTGAGAAATCAAACATAATGTTACGACGTCAACATCGACGATGTTTGTGTGTTTTTGTTATTGCGTTTCATATGAATGAAGAATGAACTTAATGCAATGTTACATGCGTTTTTTTCCAAAGTGACTAACTAGGATGAAATTGGTCTTCTAACAACTGAAACATCACTTAAAAATATGACATTACACACCACAATGATGTAACGTTTTCATCGTGATTTGAAATGATAATTATACGTTTTTAAATCACGACCTAGTAAAGGTACTATAGTCATTGGATTCCGTTTTAGTTTTACTTCTAATTTTGCATTTTTTCATCTTTATGTAAAAGACCGTCAGCCGAGCACCGACCACATGTACCCAACTGTGGAGAGTGACTGGTCGGTGGTCGGTGGTCGGCGGTCGGTGTTTTACGAAAACCCCTTACAAGCATTGTAACGGTCATATCAGGCTTTAACATTATCACGGTCATGACAGGCCTTGCAAACATTGTCACGGTCATATGGGGCTTTAACATTACCATGGTCATGACAGGCCTTGCAACCACTGTCACGGTCATATGGGGCTTTAACATTACCATGGTCATGGCAGGCCTTGCAACCACTGTCACGGTCATATGGGGCTTTAACATTACCATGGTCATGGCAGGCCTTGCAATATAGTACACCGTTGTCACGGTTATACCAGGCTTACACGATTACACTTCCATGGTCATGGCAGGATCCTTGCGCTACTTAAAAACACTAATAACATGGTGACGGTTACGCCAGGCGTAAGTCTTGCAATAGATAGCATGTAGTATGTATCCAACAGACCGAATATAATATTCGGTCTGTTATGATTGATATATTTCCTGTGGAAATCGCGGTGATATTTTTTGCACATTAATTTCTCGTTTATTACAAGAATGTTCACCTTGAAAATTGGTGAATATGTTGAAGAGATGTTCATCTTAAACTAGAAGCAAAAATATTTGTATAAGGCGGGTACAAGTTGATATAAAATAATGAAATGTTCAGACTCACCAAAATTTCAGGATGTGTTCATAAGTAGATCGCGAAATCAATGTCAAGGACGTTTGAGTTCACGAGATCCAAACGAGATATGCAAATTTTTTGAACTTTGACAACACATGACCACTTGATTACCTCGGCCTTCTTCATGAATATTTCCGCTCTATTTACTATAAATGAAGAAAATTAATCGGGATAATGATAATAAATGACTAGATCTAATAAATTCCCGCACAAATGGAATCAATACGCTTCCGTAATGTTGCTCCGTCCGCTCCACGTGTTATTTGTTTACAAATAGACTGACGTCACTGGCTAAATCTCGTTTATCGTGAGAATTGGCATTGCCAAAATGGCTTGACCTAATCAATGGCTTCGCTACAAGAAGCGTCTGTACATTTTATGAATATCTTCAGTAAGAGGACAATATACGAAAAAATAATATTGTAAGTTCTTTATAAGGTAATCATTTTATCATTAAACAAACTTATTTGTAACATTTATACAACACCACATTTTACAATAGGTGACTTACAGTCTGAATATTTATTCAGACGAAGGATACAGTCTAAGATAGCATGTGGTAATTTGAGTTGGCGGCCTTGAATCGTGTTGACGGCCAAACAGAATCACACTTCCATAAATGGTCTACATCTTTTAATTTTCAGTTTTCATCTTAATATTGCATTCAATCATTCAAAATTCATTCATTTTTCAGTCATTTCCTGAAACTGTGAAAAGTGAAAATTATTTATGACATGGAACATTGATCAATGCTTACTACGTTTCAACATTAGCATGACCTAAATTAAACAGCAAAATCAAAAATTACATTTTACTCTACACATATGGTTATTTTGAAAAACATAAGAAGTTTATTTACTGAGATACGATACTTACAATTCCGGGTAAATTTGCATACTTTGGATCTGCCATTTTTTATTTTTCAGAAAAACTTCAATTTTAACAAAAAACGAAATTAATAAACTTTAGATACTTACGGATTAAATTAATATTCTGAGATGAAGGATATTACAGAAAAACATTGATGTAATAATAAATATTAAACATATTATTGTTTCCTTTCAGATAATTGTATTTTTCCATCATAAAGCTATTTTCAAGTTTGACATTTGTCGAGACTAACGCATAACCTCGCGTGAACTGACATGGAGGCCATCAACACGGAAGTACACGTAAATACTTTATAAATCACTGAATATTTGGATCCTAAGTTAAGAATGAAAAAAAACTTGATGAGGTAATAAATAACCCATGTATCATACATATTTGTGCAGAAATCTGTGTTGGTTGGACATTCATTTAACACGAAAAATAAGTATATTTCCAATTCTTTGCAAAGCTGTCAATGTGAATATCCCTGACATGTCACATTCTGACAGGCTGTCTCGGGAGTTTTCATTTTGAATTCAAATGAATGTCATCAGCGGTGAAAGTGAAAATAATGATATTTGATCAGACCTAGGGTGCAGTCATGTAGCGTGGGTATTTTGTGCACAAATATCAGAAAGGGGGGGGGGGTAGGTACGAAAAATTTCGAACGGAATGCGTGACATATACGTAATTCGCGTGAAAAGTCCGAACGAAATGCGTACATTTTTTTCCGGCGTTCGTATTTTTGCTGTGTAGACGATCTTTTTTAGAAATTTTTCTACAGAAATATTTTGGCGTGACAATTACCAGGTAAAATGCGTATTTGCGTGACATTTTCTGTCACGCAAAAATAACTGGCGTGACTTCGAATTCTTCAGCAAATGCGTGACAAATACGCAAATTGCGGGACAGTTGACAGGCCTGAGAAGGCTCTATCTTTAGGAGGTATTTCCCAAGAAACATTCTGCCATCTGTGATTTTGTGAGTGTACGCCAAGAGTGCCCGAAGCAAATGAGCTTTGGAGGGTAGTTTGCGGGTTTCCCCCCAAAGAAATTTGAAAATGAGATTGCATTTGAAGCGTTCTGGAGACGGTGTTTTAAAATACAAAATTCTGACCAATATGCAGTGCCCTGTTCTTATTAAACATGTTCAGAATATCCAGTGCAGGGCAATTCAATATAAAAAATAAAATTTTGAGAGTACGCCATGGCGTTTCCCCAGTCGCTTCATCGATGGTTGGATCATTAACCATAAACATAAACTAAATTACTTTCAGATTGTGCTACAGTTTACAAGAATAATAGTGCAGTGATTTGCCAATGAATTCTGTCATGGGGCTCGGAAAATTGGTGACACAGTGCATATGTGCAAGGGAATCCATAGAAATTGAAGGTCATCGCTATTCAGTTCTTGAACGGCTTGCAGAAGGGTAAGATTATTGCTCAGAGTGTTTATATAAATTTTATAAGTTGACTACAGTTTGTAGCTTAGGCCAAGGGAAAAGTAACAGTATAAGCTCAATATAGAAACTCGTAACTTGACAACTTCAGTTCTGCATTTGTATAGCAAGTTGAAACCTAGCTAAACTTGTAACAAGTGATCTGATTGGTTAGTAAAGAAATTTTCACAATCTCCTAGCTTTCGTAATACGAATACCACATGTCGCTTAAAGCAAATTCCTTACACATGTCTTTATCTTATTGTGAAACAGCTACAGTGTACCTATGATATACTGTAGGTTAACTCGTCAGAAATTAAAACAACTGTATTTGAAGCGATTTTAGAAAATTTTGAAACCGCCATCTTAAAAACGTGAAGTAAGTTGAACCCAGTGATTATCGATCTTGACATATTACAATTTGTTGCTCTGTGGAAATTCCCTAGACCTTCGCCTAAAAACACATGCGACATCAATTACCAATATCATGGTAAAATCATTTGTGAACATTATCATTTATGCTATATTAAAGATTTGGCGTTGTTGATTCATTATTACAGACCAGGAGCCCGTTTTTGTACCATTCGTAGAAAGGAACATTCGCAATATTGATACTTAAAAAGTTACGAATGATTTACGAATTCGTAAAGTTGCGAATGGACCATTTTTGTACGCTTTAGTAAGTCATTCATATTTTTTCAATTGTCTTGAGCTATATCTACGAATGGATTGAGGTAATATTCTACCGTTGTCAGGGCAGATAGTACAGCAAACAGGATTTATTAATTAATAAAATCAAAGTCGTACAATAAGAACTGTACAAAAATAATGGAAAATACTAAAATAGATATAGAAATAGGTTGATAATAAGTTGATCACAGTATCGCCCTTTGCATTCTCTAAGTAGAATGAAGAAACGTCTCAAATTACAATACAATGTATAAATGAATAAATAAGGACCTGTTGACAAAGTTACAAAAGGGTAAGATAAGAGGTGCTATTAAATCTACGAACGAAAGCAGGCATGACGTCACTATTTTCGTAATTTTATGAATCGTTCGTAACTTTACGAATCTTACGAAAAAAAATTTGTGAAATTCGCAAATTAAACAATGGACTTATGAAAGTTTGTTACTACGAACGGTACAAAAATGCCTAGTGTCAGAATTTTTAATGAAACCACCACTACAGCTTATTTTTTCCTTTCCAAAAACCATGTAAACAGTTAGATGGGGATTGTAAAATGCTGTTAATGATATTGCTGCTACAGAATTTTTCTTTTTCAGTGGCTACAGCTTGGTTGATCTAGTGAAAGACAAGGCCTCATACAGAGAGTTTGCATTAAAACGAATACAGTGCCATTCAAAGGAAGATGAGAGAAATACACTTAAAGAGGTTGAATATCATAAACAGTTCCGTCACAAGAATTTGTGTGGATGTGAGGGGAGTCAACTTAAAAAATTAAGGAACCAAAATCCTGGTGCTGCTTTTAACACCGGACCAATCAGTGAAATGCTTATTGTCTTACCATTTTTCAAGGTATATACTGCAATTGTCTGCAAGTATATTTTTAAAGAATACTTAAAGGTCGGTAACATAATTCTGAGTACTAGGCACAATTTGCTCACTCTATGTGTATCTACATTTTGATATCTGTGTTGCAATTATAAAGATGCTTTTGATTTAATGAGAATTCCTCTTTGATCTTATTTGATTTGAGAATGAAGAAGACAATGATGTTCCCGGGTGTATCTTTGTTATTTTCAAATGGTTTTCCATTTCTAGCGTGGGACGTTACAAGATGAAATCAGCCTTAGACAACACAAAATGGAGTACATTCCAGAGAAAAGAGTGATTCAGTTATTCCTTGGTATATGTGAAGGTCTTAGGGAGTTACACAGTCATAATATTGCACATAGGTAGGTCAGGTCACACTTTCCTTCAAATAGAAGACTGGATATCTTTATCTTGTGGTAAATATTTAATGCTTTTATGATCCACTTTGTCAAACACCAAACCTATTGCTAACTACCCGATGTACACTTTTCTTGGTAAAACGGTAAAATTGATAGCATCTCAAAAGGAATTTTGAACTAATTTTGTTTTTCATTCACTGGCAAAATATTGCAATGTTGGATATTTCTTTGCTTGTTTTCATGAGTAAGAATTTTAGTGGAAAATAATAATATAACAAATAAAAAATGGCTTACAACAGCTATTAATGCCAATATTTGCTCATTTATAATTCCAGAGATATTAAGCCAGGGAATGTTCTTCTGTCTGAGACTGACACTCCTGTCCTTATGGACTTTGGGTCTATGGATGTGGCTAGAGTGGATATTAAGACAACCTCTGAAGCACTTGCATTACAAGTAAGTACTGTTCTTAATGGACTTTGGGTCTATGGATGTGGCTAGAGTGGATATTAAGACAGCCTCTGAAGCACTAGCATTACAAGTAAGTACTGTTCTTAATGGACTTTGGGTCTATGGATGTGGCTAGAGTGGATATTAAGACAACCTCTGAAGCACTTGCATTACAAGTAAGTACTGTTCTTAATGGACTTTGGGTCTATGGATGTGGCTAGAGTGGATATTAAGACAGCCTCTGAAGCACTTGCATTACAAGTAAGTTCTGTTCTTATGGACTTTGGGTCTATGGATGTGGCTAGAGTGGATATTAAGACAGCCTCTGAAGCGCTAGCATTACAAGTAAGTACTGTTCTTAATGGACTTTGGGTCTATGGATGTGGCTAGAGTGGATATTAAGACAACCTCTGAAGCACTTGCATTACAAGTAAGTACTGTTCTTAATGGACTTTGGGTCTATGGATGTGGCTAGAGTGGATATTAAGACAGCCTCTGAAGCACTAGCATTACAAGTAAGTACTGTTCTTAATGGACTTTGGGTCTATGGATGTGGCTAGAGTGGATATTAAGACAGCCTCTGAAGCGCTAGCATTACAAGTAAGTACTGTTCTTAATGGACTTTGGGTCTATGGATGTGGCTAGAGTGGATATTAAGACAACCTCTGAAGCACTTGCATTACAAGTAAGTACTGTTCTTAATGGACTTTGGGTCTATGGATGTGGCTAGAGTGGATATTAAGACAACCTCTGAAGCACTTGCATTACAAGTAAGTACTGTTCTTAATGGACTTTGGGTCTATGGATGTGGCTAGAGTGGATATTAAGACAGCCTCTGAAGCGCTAGCATTACAAGTAAGTACTGTTCTTAATGGACTTTGGGTCTATGGATGTGGCTAGAGTGGATATTAAGACAACCTCTGAAGCACTTGCATTACAAGTAAGTACTGTTCTTAATGGACTTTGGGTCTATGGATGTGGCTAGAGTGGATATTAAGACAGCCTCTGAAGCACTTGCATTACAAGTAAGTACTGTTCTTAATGGACTTTGGGTCTATGGATGTGGCTAGAGTGGATATTAAGACAGCCTCTGAAGCGCTAGCATTACAAGTAAGTTCTGCATATAAACATTGTTACAAGTGCATCCACCATGTCCACCTTTCATTGACTTTCATTTTTTCAAATCCTAATGAAAACACTGGTCATGATTGTGCATTAAATCCTATTACTATTGCAATTAAATCTCTATTTCATTATTACATATAAATGTTTACTTTTAAGGATAAAGCTTCAATGACTTGCACAATGCCCTATAGAGCTCCAGAGCTGTTTAATGTGGAACGACAGACCACAATTGATGAGCGTGTTGATATTTGGGTAAGTTAACATTATAAAAACAGAACTTTGGCAAATTAGCAAAATTGCCAAATTAAATGGTCGCCAAAATCCCTGGGAATTCGACAAGGTTTTTCGTTCATTGCATTTCCAGGTGTAAGAAAGCTACCAAGGTGGCCGGGCCATTTTAATTTATAAAACAATAAGAAATATTGAAGACTTTTATATAAACAACAAGAAATATTCAAGAAATTGTTCATCAACAACACTGACAATGAGTATCTTGAATTGGGTAAGATGGGAGGTTATCTGGGAACCTGAAAATCGCCAAATTAAATAGATGTCAATTGGCCCAAAAACACAAAATCACCAAATTAAGCAGCGCCAAATTAAAGACAAATGCAGTCTATTAATTGTACAACAAATATTACAGGGTCATTCCCATTACCCCTGAGCCTAGTTCAAAGACAATGAAGTTTCAAATTTATGAGTAAATTGATAAATTGTTTTGTTTTAGTACATGTACCATTACCTCATTCTCCATGGACTGCCCACTTTATTGATATTGCAGTGTTATTTCAGTCATTGAAGTGTACACTTTATGCTATGATAATGCTGTTATTTCAGTCATTAGAGTGTACAGTTTATGCAATGATATTGCCATCTAATTTCAGTTATTAGGGTGTACAGTTTATGCTATGATATTGCTATTTTATTTCAGTCATTAGGGTGTACAGTTTATGCTATGATATTGCTATGTTATTTCAGTCATTAGGGTGTACAGTTTGTGCTATGATATTGCCATCTTATTTCAGTTATTAGGGTGTACAGTTTATGCTATGATATTGCTATGTTATTTCAGTCATTATGGTGTACAGTTTATGCTATGATATTGCTATGTTATCTCAGTCATTAGGGCTGTAGGGTGTAAAGTTTATGCTACGATATTGCTATGTTATTTCAGTCATTAGGGTGTACAGTTTATGCTATGATATATCCATCTAATTTCAGTTATTAAGGTGTTCAGTTCATACTATGAAATTGCCATCTTATTTCAGTCATTACGGTGTACAGTTTATGCTATGATATTGCCATCTTATTTCAGTCATTAGGGTGTACAGTTTATGCTGTGATATTGTTATGTTATTTCAGTCATTAGGGTGTTCAGTTTATGCTATGATATATCCATCTAATTTCAGTTATTAGGGTGTACAGTTTATACTATGATATTCCCATCTAATTTCAGTTATTAAGGTGTTCAGTTCATACTATGAAATTGCCATCTTATTTCAGTCATTACGGTGTACAGTTTATGCTATGATATTGCCATCTTATTTCAGTCATTAGGGTGTACAGTTTACGCTGTGATATTGTTATGTTATTTCAGTCATTAGGGTGTACAGTTTATGCTATGATATATCCATCTAATTTCAGTTATTAAGGTGTTCAGTTCATACTATGAAATTGCCATCTTATTTCAGTTATTAGGGTGTACAGTTTATACTATGATATTCCCATCTTATTTCAGTCATTACGGTGTACAGTTTATGCTATGATATTGTTATGTTATTTCAGTCATTAGGGTGTACAGTTTATGCTATGATATTGCCATCTTATTTCAGTTATTAGGGTGTACAGTTTATGCTATGATATTGCAAGGTAATTTCAGTCATTAGGGTGTACAGTTTATGCAATGGTATTGCTATGTTATTTCAGTTATTAGGGTGTACAGTTTATGCTATGATATTGTCATCTTATTTCAGTTATCAGGGTGTACAGTTTATGCTATGATATTGCTATGTTATTTCAGTCATTAGGGTGTGCAGTTTATGCTATGATATTGCTATGTTATTTCAGTCATTAGGGTGTACAGTTTATGCTATGATATTGCTATGTTATTTCAGTCATTAAGGTGTACAGTTTATGCTATGATATTGCTATGTTATTTCAGTTATTAGGGTGTACAGTTTATGCTATGATATTGCTATGTTATTTCAGTCATTAGGGTGTGCAGTTTATGCTATGATATTGCTATGTTATTTCAGTCATTAGGGTGTACAGTTTATGCTATGATATTGCTATGTTATTTCAGTCATTAGGGTGTACAGTTTATGCTATGATATTGCTATGTTATTTCAGTCATTAGGGTGTACAGTTTATGCTATGATATTGCTATGTTATTTCAGTCATTAGGGGGTACAGTTTATGCTATGATGTACCTTGAGGGACCATTTGAGAAAATTCATCAACGAGGGGACAGTGTGGCTTTAGCAGTGCTCGGCTGCAACATTAGATACCCAGAAGAACAGACTCAGTATGTATTTTTGGGCTAACACCTTATTATCTATTATCACTTTTGATATGACATTCTCCTTTATGTCATGTGAAAAAATGTTACTTTTAATCGATGAAGTTTTCATTTATTATAAACATGATATTGATATTAAATTTTACCGATTTAAACAGAGTACAACATTTCAAATTATAAGTCTAAGCACCCCAATCTGCAACCCTTTTAAATTATGTTAGCTTAGATGCCTTTTCTCACCAGACAATCTGACAATCAGTGATGTCCTATTACAGGGTGGTCAAAAAAAATGGAAACCCTGCATTTTCCTTATATCTTTGTCAATTTAAGGAATTACTCCCTGATATTTCACACATCTGTACATCATTCAATTTCCTACCACCCTACCATATTTCATGACCATCAGACTGATAGTCACAATTTTACAGCACTTTGAATAACATGCTTCAGATTTGACCATTATCGCGCTGTAGGCAAAACAGCACAGTTGTCAATGAGCTGAATGCATTCCTCAGCAGGTATGGCCTGAATGAAACAGATGATCTCACTTTTGAGGTTCGCAATTGTCCTGAGGTCATTCTCATATACTCTATCTCTGCCATATCCTCACAGGTAGGGACATTTTAGACGATGAGTACAGGTTTCCCCACAACGCAATAGTGGCCACTGGGCATGTTCTTTAAAGTACTGTAACATTGTGACTATCAATCTGATGGTCATGAAATAAGGTAGGCTGGTAGCAAATTGAATGATGTACAAAAGTGCAAAATATAAGGGAGTTATTCTTAAAAATAACAAAGATATGAGGAAAATGGTAATAGGGTTTCCATTTTTTTTGACCACCCTGTATAATTGCTTATATAATAACTTACATTCCTTAGATATATCTTGAGACCAACTTATGAACACGGTTTTGGCAATGTATTAAGAAAATCAACAGAACAAGGAACTGTCTGTATTGAACGCACGCAATTTTAGCTTTCCTCAATTGAAGGGAATTCCCAACAAGTGACTTGGAACTCAGGCAGTTAATAAGATTCAAAGCACAATTTTAGATTTATTTACAAATTTCCAACCATCCAGTTAATAATTCATTTCTGCATACAATCATGAAATTGACACCATAAATGTTTAAAACGTAGGAGTTGGTATCTGCCAGTTGGCAAGTAGATTGATAGACCTATTTTACATCTCCTAATGCAAATATATATTGAGGGGGTACTGTACTCTAATGTGCTCCTATCAGACACTGCCTCTTTTAATATCATATTTACACTTATTCTTCAAGTAGTATGATCTTTTCCAGATATTCCTCTTCATTGGTTGACCTGATAAAGTCACTTCTAGCGGTTGACCCAACCCAGAGGCCATACATAGACTGGGTGCTACAACGATTAGACAATGTCTCAAAAAACTCCAATAACTGTAACACGAAGTCAGCAACCAATGTGATTTGATCGCTTTGATAGAGGCCATACATAGACTGGGTGTTCAGACAATATCTCAGTTAAAGGAATTCTAGGTGATAAAAATATTGCTTCTTGGGCAAGATCAAATGACTTTAACATATTCTTTACCCAACCTATTTTGTAATTTAACAATCAACACAAGTGTACATACCATATTTCAGCAGATTTCGAAAAAGTTCATAAAAATATTTTTTGATCGATAAAATCATAGATTATAAAACTGGAAGTGTCTTCCTTGAGGTCTGTGTGTAATATTTTAACTATTTCAAATGTTGCAATGGATTTGATTTTAAATGGTTCGTAATGATCTTCAAATGCTTACTAAGATTTATATTTGGAATATTTTGACTTATCCGCTTCATAAAAACAACATTATCACCAGTTACTCGACTCGAAAATTCACTTCTGGTCTATATCGTAATAAAGATGAGCTAAAAGTTGTCATGAATATCTTTCAATCCTCAATCTAAATATGACTTTTCAAGGTTCAATAGATGACTTTGAATGGACTCATGCATAGTTCGAAAATAGAATCATCAGTGAAGGTTTTAAACCATGAAATCGACTCTAAAGCCTGAAAAAATCTTTTTGAACCATTTTGTCGGCTGTATGTTACAATGTGCCTTTAATACCTGACTCCGATAACTGACATTCAGCAACCAATGTCCTTTGATGGTACTCTTACATGATGGAGGCGTATACTCAATTTTGAGAAGTAGATCTGCAATTCCAATGAAGAATCCTTTGGAGAACCATTATATTACACCATGGCAAACATACAGGGTGACCAAAAAAAACTGGAACCCACTTAAGTCTTAATTACTTCGTCAATGATGCATATTGAGCTTAGTTATTTGGTAAATCTATAGTCAACTGAATGTATGACAAGATGTTAAAGTTTTAGCATTATAGCCCAATTAGTCTCCAAATGAGGCACGATTAGATAATGTGCTTCAAATGTGCACCACAACGTTGGATGCAGAGCTGTATTCTTCTTGCAAAATTGTCAATGACCCGACTGCATTAATCTCTGTCTATCTCTCTAATTAGTCTTCCAATGTTGAGTTTGAGGTCATCAATGGTCAGTGGACTATCTGTATACACATTTTTCTTGAGATACCCCCACAGATAAAGATCTGGGGGGTTCAATCAGGGGAGTGGGGGGGGGCAGATGTGGCGGGTATGGTGACTGATTAATTGATCGCCAAAGTGAGCCTGAAGCCATCGAATGGACTCATTTGAGGTGTGGGGTGTGGCACCATCTTGTTGGAACCATTGCTGGTCCCTTTTCAAGTCACGTCGTCTACCCAGCGCTCTCTGAAACGTTTGAACGTTAGGGATGTAATGTTCTGAGTTGACTGTTGAGTTGTCTTGAGTTCTGACAGACCTCTCTCTCCCCGAATAGGTTGGTTTACCATCACTTATCTTCTTTGTTGGTTTTACAGTTCCTTCTGAATCAAACTTCTGTATAAACCTAAAGATCTGTGACTTGCAAGGGGCTCTTCTTGCCCTGTGATCTCTCATATAGGCAGTTTGTGTCTCTTTATACGATTTTGTCTCGATATACTTTCTCACAATATAAGTATTTTCTTCTGTCGTCCATGGCATGATTAATATCAAAGCTACAGTACTCATTATTGTGTCATTTTGTCATGCATTCAGTCTAGTTTCTACCCTGAAGAAATGAAGACTGTAGGTATAATACTTTCTGAGAAATTTGATGATTTATGGGTTCCAGTTTTTTTTGTCACCCTGTACTTAATGTCTTTACATGTAATTTGAAGGCAGTTAGGAGATGGATATTAATGGAATAAGTAGATGGGAGAACTAAACCTAAGGTAGAAATATTATATGCATGTTATGTATGTGACTAGTCAGATCATACGTTTATTTGAAAATGCATGGATATGTGAAAGGGGATGTGAACAGTGCTTGTATATTAAATTATACGTAAAATTAGATTTATTTTAAAACAAAAAATAAAAAACATTAATTTATTAGTGAAAGAATGGTTGTGTTCTGTTCTCTTTGGTGGGGAATAAATTGTACATAATAATTTGTCAAATTGAAGAGACAAGAAAAATCTCCAGTTATTCATCAAAGAATGAGAGTTGGAAGATAGAATCAGAGAGTTTGACACAGTCAAGTAATATTAGAAATCTTAAATAAAAATGATGTTCATTGATGTTATAATCAAAATAAAAGGTCCTCTATGCATAACATGTACATTATGGAAAAAATATGTACAAAATATTTGTGCAAGTATAAGATATGAATTGCATTTTTAGAAAATAGGTAGTATTGTAGAGAGGTCCCAGTTTTATTTAATTCTGCTGAAAACCTAAATTATACATGTACAGTGTATATGCATTCAAGATATTTCATTGGACTTTGCAGAGATAATTTTATATATCTGAGCATAATAGGCATTCTAAAATATATCTATAGTGAACTGTATATTGAAAAATAATAGAAGAAAGATATTGTCTCAATTTTCTAATAATTTGGCCCAAAATAGATCAGCTAGTCCTGCAATATGAAATGTAGATGGCATGAATGATCCCGAGCAAAGTGATATCAAAGAGGGAATATGTTAGGGTTGGATCTAGAAATTGACAGGGTGGCAAAAATCCATTGTAATGGTAATAAGACCCCACTCCCTGACCTAGCAATTTCTAATTGAACGTCACTGGGATGAAAAAACAAATTTCCACAATTTCTATGTTCACTTAATATATTATACTATTCTGAATACACAATCCCAGAGGACTATTCTCCTGTTATATATTTTCATTTGAAGGCTATTGTCCTGACTCCTGTTATATATTTCCATATAAAGGCTATTGTCCTGTTATATATTTTCATATTAAGGCTATTTTCCTGTTATAAATTTTCATATTGAGGCTATTGTCCTGTTTTATATTTTCATATGAATGCTATTGTCCTGTTTTATATTTTCATAGTAAGGCTATCGTCCTGTTATATATTTTCATATTAAGGCTATTGTTCTGTTTTACATTTTCATATTAAGGCTATTGTCCTATTTTATATTTTCATATTAAGGCTATTGTCCTGTTATATATTTTCATATTAAGGCTATTGTCCTGTTATATATTTTCATATTAAGGCTATTGTCCTGTTTTATATTTTCATATTAAGGCTATTGTCCTACTTTATATTTTCATATTAAGGCTATTGTCCTGTTTTATATTTTTATATTAAGGCTATTGTCCTATTTTATATTTTCATATTAAGGCTATTGTCGATGTCCTGTTTTATATTTTCATATTAAGGCTATTGTCCTGTTATATATTTTCATATTAAGGCTATTGTCCTATTTTATATTTTCATATTAAGGCTAATTGTCCTGTTATATATTTTCATATGATGTAGACTTTCCTTTAACCTTGGATACAACAAATCTTCCCCCATCCTGAAAATAATGGTAAAGTTGATCAAAACATGACATATTTTAAGTGACAAAGCTATAACAGTGTCACTGGCCCCCACCTGCTTATAAAGACATTACTTCCATAGAGGAAATTTTTTCATAATTATCACCAACAAAGAGGTTGATTTATATCCAAATATTTTACCCATATGTAAACAGTAACATCCGGTTACTGAAAACCTAGTCAGTAATTAATAAATCTATCCATCCAGCAGCTCCAATAATTGAGTAAGAATTCCTCACTTCAGCAACACAACACAACTAAGATGTTATGAAATTTGCTAGATAACATCCTGGTTGCTTAAATGATTATTGGAGCTGCTGGATGGATAGATTTATTAGTGACTGATGAGCTTTTCAGTAACCGGATGTTACTGTTTACATATGGGTAAAATATTTGGATACAAATCGACCTCATCCTTGGTGAAAATGATCAAAACAACAATTTCCTCCAACGGAAGTTCATCCATTTTGAAACCAAGTGGGGACAAGTGAGTGTATACAATTCTTTCAGAAACAAAACTTTTGTATCAAATACATGACTCAGTTTATAATGCTTGTATCATTTTCAGGTAGTTTTACTGGAATGTATTTAGTAATTTGTGAGAGTATATATTTGAAAACAAGTTGGCATGTATTCTTTGGAACTGCAAAATCAGTTCATACAGTGAGCCACAAGTGCTCAAGTAGTTAATAAAACTAACCTTGACCATAAGAGGTAGTTCTTTCCAGAAGCCCACATTGGGAACGAGTTCAGCACCCTCTTTGCCTCTGAACTTCATGAATGCAATTCCTCCAATGAGGTATATTACTAATACAACTATAAATCTGAAACATTAAAGATTGTTAATGAAAATATTATTTAGGGAAGGCTATGCTCAAATACTTGTTATAGTACATGTAATAGTATATTACTACTATTTGTTATATATGCAAGGCCTAGGGATTTCTTATGCATTAAAGTTTTAAAGTACAATTAAAGCTCTTAGATTTAGATCTTTATTTAAACTCTCATTGTTAAAATTTATCTGTATGAAATTGTCATTGATATATAATGTATGCATTTTCCATTCAAAATGGCCACTTTAACAGTTTGTTGGTCGACAAATAATTGTTTAGGTAGATTTATCCGGGCAAAATTCCATTTCAAAATAAAGATTGTTACAATAAGTTCAAAATACTCACATTATACAGAGAATAGTTCCAATGCTGATACCTCCTGGGGTGCTAGGACCTGGGCTGGGTCGAGGGGTGGTAACTGGGGGTGGGGGAGCACCCTGGGGACAGGCGTACTTGCTCTCTATTGCCATGTACTGAAAGTTTCCAAAAATATGAGTTTGCTTATTTTTTTTAAACTTTAAAATGTTGAATTGTTTAAATATTTGGTTTTATTTTATTTTTTAATATTTGTAGAGCCAGGAGGGGACTTGTACAATATACTCAAATAGTATGTTAGGCTGGGAAGGGAGTTGTACAATGTATTAAAATATTATGTAGAGCCAAGAGGGGACTTGTACAATGTACTCAAATATTTTGTAGAGCCAGGAGGGTACTTGTACAATGTATTAAAATATTATCTAGAGCCAGGAGGGGACTTGTACAATGTATTAAAATATTATCTAGAGCCAGGAGGGGACTTGTTCAATCTACTCAAATATTTAGTATAGCCAGGAGGGGACTTGTACAATGTACTCAAATATTTTGTAGAGCCAGGAGGGTACTTGTACAATGTATTAAAATATTATCTAGAGCCAGGAGGGGACTTGTACAATGTATTAAAATATTATGTAGAGCCAGGAGGGGACTTGTACAATGTACTCAAATATTTTGTAGAGCCAGGAGGGTACTTGTACAATGTATTAAAATATTATCTAGAGCCAGGAGGGGACTTGTACAATGTATTAAAATATTATCTAGAGCCAGGAGGGTACTTGTACAATGTATTAAAATATTATCTAGAGCCAGGAGGGGACTTATACAATGTATTAAAATATTATCTAGAGCCAGGAGGGGACTTGTTCAATGTACTCAAATATTATGTAGAGCCTGGAGGGGACTTGTACAATGTACTCAAATAGCATGTAGAGCTGGGAAGGGACTTGTACAATGTATTAAAATATTATCTAAAGCCATGAGGAGACTTGTACAATGTACTCAAATATTTTGTATAGCAAGGAGAGGACTTACTCAAATATTATGGTGCAGAGCCAGGAGAGAACTTGTACAATGTTCTCACTCATTCTGTAGAGGTAGAAGGGGAGTTGCACAATGTACTCACTCATTCTGTAGAGGTAGAAGGGGAGTTGCACAATGTACTCAAATATTATGTAGAGGCAGAAGGGGATTTGTACAATGTACTCAAATATTATGTAGTGACAGGAGAGGACTTGTAAAATGTACTCACATATTGTGCTGAGGCTGGAGGTGACTCCCCTGTGGCTGTAAACTGTTTATCAATATCTTTATTACAGATCAGTTGCACATATGATGTCCTAAAATATAGTTGAAATAGTATTATACATTATGAAAAACATGTAAATATGCCAATCAGTTGTTAATTTGTTTGTTTTTGTTTTGTTTGTTAAGACACTGTTGCGCAACTGAAAATTCTGTTCCATTATCATTTCCATTAAATATATATCAACAAATTATATTATATTATAAGATACACAAGTCTAAATTGCGAAGAGAGTAATAGATAAATTGCATCACAGTCCTGGTTTAGATGATTATGTACTTCTACTTAATTTGGCAACCGTTTTTATTAGGCAGATCAGCCTTATTGTTAAAGTCCACCAAATTAAGTCCCCACCAAATTAGCCAGTAATTTTACATGTTTTAGTACCATGTAAATTAATGCCATTAGCACATGGTAATATTGCAAGTCTGCCAAATTAAGTAGTCACCAAATTAAATAGAAGTACAGTACCTGAAATGAATAATGTGTTATGAACAATTAAACATAACCCTTAAATAGCTGTAGAATGAATAGGTTATGCTTCTTAAAGTGCCTTATAGAGGTTGTTGTTTCTTGCTGTACATGTGATAATAGTGCAATTTGGGATTGTTAATTTAGGAAAATGTATTTTTCTGGCAATAAGGGAAAGAACATATGTTTCTCCAAAGCACCATCCTCCTTCACATTGCCTATAAGCTGCTAATACTGAATTGAAGACGGTGAAATAGACTTTTCTGTACCTGAGAGTATTGGAGCCTAGTGTATCTGCAGTGTAACGTATTTGGAGGCCTTTGGTTTGGTCAGTCATGAATGTTGCAGATTCCTGGGTGCCTAGGCTGAAGAAGGCACCCCCTCCCTGCACCTGGCATACCTACAACCAATGAGCACCCTGGGATTGTGTTCACTATAGGAGGGGACCGGAGATTTAGAATGTAGGATCCGCTTATTATACCAAAGTGAATTGCACTATTATTGGGTACTTTGATACTCCTGTCAACATACACTAAGAGGTGGGGGAGAAGGTAACACTAAGTGCATTGTTTTGTGTGATACTATAGATGCAAGCACACATATCCACAAAGTAGGAGCAAAAGTTGATGGATCTATCATAGGAGGTTGAAAAGGGGAGTTTGATCAAGTCTGATAATACTACAGACTCAATGGATTGGTATTTTCATGTAGTCTTATTACTACTACTATCTCTGAATGGATATCCATTACGTTTATTGCAATTTCTGAATTAAAATCCATTAAGTTTAATTGTAATATCAGAGACATCCATCAAGTTTATTGCAATTCCTGAATATATCTAGGCTACCAATTTTATTGCAATTTTTGAATATACAGTATAACCAATAAGTTTATTGCAATTTCTGAATAGATATCCATTGAATTTGTTGCAATCTCTGAAAAGATATCCATCAAGTGTATTGCAATCTCAGAATAGATTTCCATCAATTTTTCTCAGAATGGATATCTATCAAGCGTATTGTAATCTTTGAATAGATATCCACCAAGTATATTGTGATCCCTAAATAGATATCCATTAAGTATATTGCAATCTCTGAACAGACTTCCATCTATTGCATTCTCTGAATAAATATTCATTGAATTTATTGCAATATATGAATAGATATCAATCAAGTGTATTGCAATCTCTGAATAGATATCAATCAAGTGTATTAATGTGTGAAGTTATAAAGCTACAATATGGTGTGTTGCTGGCAAGGAATATCATATTGCTGGAACTATAAAGTAATGCATGTTACCTAACAACATTTCTACCAGATGGATCTACTGTATCAGCACTGTATTGTATTTCAAGTCCCCTGATTTCATCTGTGATAAACTGAGCAGATTCTTGTGTGCCAAGGTTATATTGGATAAGCACCCCTCCCGCAGTAGTTTGGCAAGCCTATTAAAGCAGAAGCATGCAGGTCAGCTAGTTGATATTTCAGCATTTTATTGTCCTTTTAAGCATGCAGGGTGATCTGTTTTGGGGGCTTTCATTGATATAATGAACAGAAACAGAAAGGGTTTTAATAGCCTTGATAAAAATATTACACATTATTTTTCATTCATGAGTAATTTTCCAGTAATTTTCACTTTTGTAGAGTATTTCAGCTCAATGTATGTAATAAAGGTTTTAAATATACAAATGTACAGAAATGTATGACAAATTGTCATTATATGTAATTTTATGCCAAGGCTACTAGATCATTTGTTTTAAGGACTTATGAAGAAGTGGTCACTTGCAATTTTTCAGTTAACCAAGGTTTAAATGAGAGTCTCAGAGTTTTTAACTATAAGATACAGGACATTTTCAACAAATTATATAATATGTGTATGCATTTTCTTACGATTTACGAAATATTAAACTAATACTGTTTAAAGGATCAATGAATGTTATACATTTGAACTTTTATAAGTTTTCCCCTCTTATATATAAGATGATTTGTTAAAAGGATTTACCGCCACATTTTGAACAGAACCCTCATTGAAGTTATAACATGGATTCCACGAGAATAGATCTATGGTCCCTGGTGCTGGTTGATCACGAAACCTGGAAAAGACATTAGTTTATTCATATTTATTTCATATTGTTGAATTTATCTGAAAAGTAAATTGGAATTCCATCTATAATGAAACAAACCTATTGCAAGCCTATCTATGTGACTGTGACAATTGACAGTCAATATCACATAAGGATCATTCAGTAAAAGGTTCTTAAGTGGAACTTTTAAAACTTTATCTAGATAACCTGACATGAAAATAAAGAAAAACTTGATGTAATCAATTTGGATGATACTTGAACATCATGTAAGAATATCCTAAGTGACAGATCATACTTACGCTGGATTATTATGATCATTACTAGCAAGAGGTGATAAGTCTATTGTCCCTTGAGGTGTCTCGCATTTGCAGGAATTGCTTTGTGATGTGCATTGTATCATTTGAGGAGGCCCCTGGCCATTTATGTATGTTATATATCCTATTATAAATAATGAGATTTTTAAGAGATCTGAAAGAGAAGTTACTCCTGCCATTGTTAGAATCATGTGATTTACATGTACTGTAATGTTACTGGTACTGTAGTTCCATTGTATTTTCACTTTATATTTTTAAGTTTTAAGTTGGTCATTTAATCATAGTCTATAAACATGTCACAGGGATTTCATCAGTATATTTCAATAGAAGTGGATTAATCATACTTTAAAATTAAGATAAAAATTTAGGAAAAAATGGTTCTGCAAGAATGACCTGTTTTACAATAATTCTATAGATATTACATTGAATATTGTAGAACATGTAAACAAGTGCTCTACACCTCGAGTAGCTGTCTATACACATGTTAAACATGTAGATGTGAAATGGGCATTATCTTCATGTGCTTGCAGAGTCAACAATTAAAGGTTAAAGACTAGATTGAAGCTATTCAATAAATATCTCATCAATTTGATTGATTTCTTGTGTGTCAGATTACAGGACTGATAGGATATTCCAATAAATCACACAACCATCTAACATTGACAGTTAAAACCAAATACGACTCATCATTAACCTGTACTCTAATATTATTAATCTCAAAAATTTAAAATAAATAAGGTTTGCATTCATCACCACTTTATTTTATGTTTGCGTCTGAGATATGTGATTTTGAATGGGAATAGGTTCAGTGCAGGGAAGGATCAATATTATAGTCCTTGTAGAGAGGGGTTGGAGGCCTGCATTTAAAGGATGGCCACCTATTGGATGTTTGTCAATAGCACATGTGTATCGTTTTTACTTAAATACTATAGAAGAATGAACTTATTCTTCATTTCAGAAAACAATATAGATTGTTTTTAAAAACATTTATGATGAGTACCTATGACATTATGAACCTAGCATTAAAGCAGCAGTGTCTTTGGTTAAGCAAATATTCAATCCCTCCTTCATCCAACCCCACCTTCAATAGTCTCCCAGAGGGTAACAGTAATATATTTTCCAGTGAATACCATAACAGAGATAGGAATATCATGAACAAATAATATATTCATATAAAATCCCTTTATTAGAAAATAATTTTATTTGGCAATACATTTTTGTAGATTATGCCTCTTTCACATTTGATCTACGACAACTACATGGCGGCTGTAGCTTCCCAAAATCGAGAGAAATAAGCAGCATACAATATAGGGATAAGCAGTACGATGTCGATTTGATATATCGATTTTATTAAGCTACAGTCAACCATATGATCGCCGTAAAGCAAATCTGACTGAGGTTTTACAGAGAGATATGAACTTTTAGCATATTTTTAACACAAAATTTTAGGTAATTCCTACATTATTTACAAAGCACTGAATTGTATATAATGCACTGAATATCATACACAGATGATTTTTGTTGCTCAAAAAATTTTTTACAATTTTTAGGAACAGTACACTATATACACATTGCATTTCTAGATTCAGTATGCGTATGTGAAACTTTTAAAATTTACAAGATTCCATGAACAACTCTACCATTTTTAATAAAAAATAGTACATAAATGATTTTTCTAATTGATCAATTTTTCGCAATGATACTGTGAATTGGCAGTGACAGTGGAATTTCCTGTACCATAGTACCATATTCCCATTGATTCCAAGAGAGTCCTCTGATTATAGGGCTAGAATGGAATGGACTTATTGTCTGATACCTCTGATTTTACCTTCTGAAACAGACTTTTGGAAATGCCTCCACATGTCCTGAAATATTTGGAATTCATAATTTTTCATCAAAAAACTCACTAAACTGGAATAAGTGAAATCAATTAACAAACGTGTGTATATAAATATTGAGGAGTTCACTTGTAAATGTTGTTTTGAATGAAATAAGTATTTTCAATACTTATTGCATATGAAATTGATTTAAAATATTTCTCCATTTATGAATTAGATACTACAATAATGTAATTCAATCAGAAATTCTAATAATTTCGAATTCAAAAGACAAGTTCTTAAATCTGTCCCATCCCATTCTGTGCCAGCTCTACCTGCTGACCAAATTAACGGTCAAATGTAACATAGAGTATGTTAAACAACTAAATGACACCAAAATATAGTAATATATCACCACCTTATGCATATATACATCCAAATTATTCATAATCAGTATATGGTTTAGTATCATTTGTACATGATTTACATATAATACATAACATTAGAAATATGTAACAGTTAGTGAATGACCAAAATAACTTTTTCAACCCACTAATTAATCAATTGGAACTAAAAAATGCTCAATTCAACATGTTCCAATAATTACTAACAATTAATAATTTGCTTTAACAAATAAATCTGACTGATTGCAGACTAGCATTTTAACAAAAGATTTTTTAACATATATAGGCAAATTTTCATTTCATTTTGACATCACGATCGTGTACCCTGTACACAAATCAGTTCTCTTTACGCACACTCTGTAACAAAATTGAATTTTCAATCTTTTTGAATGCAATCAGGAAAAGCCAACCAGAACAGTCCAAGTTATTCCAAGAATGTCTTATGTTAATAAAACATATTTTGATTCCATAACCCTTATTATCATTGTTTCACAAAGTTGTGACCATATCCTTATATAGGCGGAGAGAAGTTAAAACTTTCAAACCTAAAATATGTGCATTCCGATTGGTCTAAGCTGATTAGTGGAACCCCTTGCTTCTGAAGAATATAACAACAGTTTTTATATATTCTAGTGATCATGAATGTCTAAGTCACATCTTAATGTGAAGTATTCCAGGAAAACCTTTTCCTGTCCTACCTTTGGAATGATTTCAAATATTAATACAATTTTTATATTCATAATTTTGATTGTGTAATTTACCTCCCCTACCAAGGAGGGTTTCCATCTACCCACCCACCATGCAGGGTCTGACTTCAATTTTTAATTTCACTTGCACGATTATCGCTAGAAACTATTCACCCAGGAAATACAAATGGGGCAAGTTTATGGTTTTAATAATGGTAGGCTGCATGTTCATATTTTAGATGCATCGTCACAATTTTAGATTTTTTGAATTTTGTGGCAAATCAGCTAAATAGGTTGTTGCCATGGTAATTAATGCAGGTTTTATTCAAAAATTTTATCAAAAATAGATCACTAATTTCATGAATTTGTGGTTTTGTGAGTGATGATTTTTGCAGCCTACTATTGGTTAAATGACAAACTGAAGTGGTTCAAATGTCTTCCCATAGCAGTTAGCTTTAACTAAACGTTAAATAGGTGTATAAGTGTACATACATTAAAACCCTGGCACAAGTGTGACATTTAGTCTGGAACAATGACAATATCAATCTTCTAGAGCTAAATGAACACTTTATTATCTAAGAGATAAGTGAAAGTCAAATGTGGTAAAAGTACATGAACAATAAGACCTATAATCCATCATCAGATCTGACCTGTATTATGCCTATTTAACTGGGAGATTTATTACGAGAGATACATTAGCTTAAATTGACACTATGGGTTGTGATTTTAGAAAGTATGGTTCTTTTCAAATGTTTCCAAATATGCACAGAATACAAAAAAATATAGAAGTATACATAGGGCATCATGTTTAACACCCACACACATTAAAAGACTTCCTTACTTTGCAAGTTTCACTCGATTCCTAAAAAACAACTGACTTTGACTGACACAGGTATGTAAACTCAGAAAAAGTAGATAAAATTTTAATCTCATAAGAAAAGTCATGGAGTTCAGTTAATACAGCAGTTTGCAAATTGTATCTCAGATTAAGAGAAATTTCCTATAAAACTATAATAGAGAAGAACTAAAAAGATTTCTTGGAAAATTGTCCAGCAAGGTAGATGTCATGGATCTTTACAGATCTGTTTAGAAAATAATAGCAATATTGCGCTTGCTATAACCTATCATGTATCAGATAAGAAAAGTATCTCAATTTGACCAAACATCAGCAACTCATTAGCATGAGAATATCCTTATTGAGAATATACTTGATTTAAAAAACATATCTTGGTGTTGCTTTGTCGCTGTCTGAGTTTTTCACTTCCTCTTATGCATTATTATCTTGTTGCCCAAGTCCAAAAATCCATGGGCTTGACTGATATACATATAGCTTGAATGCAAATGCTCCTAGTGATATTCCTTTGATGGATTTCTATCTAAGCATCCAATATTGAATGCCTGACAACAAAACGGTGCAGAGGGATGTAACTGTTTTGGCTTAACATACTGCAATTCATTCCAGAATGAGTTAACATGGTTATCCCTCTGTATTAAAGGCAGTCCTGGGTATATATATGGAACATCATATGTTGTCTTTGAGGCTATTGTCTCACCATCTTAAGCATCAATGGTTGTCACGATTTCATAGAGGCTAAAGTAATTAAATCCTTTGTTAAGCATTGCTGACGAGGAAAGGAATGAGACTTTATATTTTATTAAATCCTCATTTGGCTATGATGATGATGAATATAAAAATAAATATTTATGTCAAACTAAATTGATCATTTTAGAATTATAGTCTATGTTTCATAAATGCCAAAACAGTAGGTCTTTATTTTATGTAATTTGAAGGGGATATGCTTAACACTTAATTTATTTACCACAGCCTTAATTCTATCATGTTGCATTGTGTATGTGAGAGGTGCTTTTGTTCTATATCTTGTCATATGTTGTGTCTGTTTTACAACCACTGCAGGTGAACCGGATTCCTTCCTAAAAGCAAAATGTACAAGTTGTGTAAAATAATTGTAACACTTTCATTATCAACTCATCTTACAAAGATGAGTGCCATTCTTCATATACTACATCTAATGATTATCAAAAATAGTACAATGTCTATAAGCCTACTTCATTCTTGCCTCCTGGGAGCTTGCATTTACCAAATATGTGAATTAAACCTACCCGAACAAGTATGGGGAAATCTGTCCAGAACTCATAGTTGGGTATCATCTCTACACCTGTTGCTCCACGTATGAACCTCAATATTAAGATTCCACCCACCAGGTAAACTATAACAGCTACCAGAAGCCTACAATCATACATGTTCATAATTTGAATCTGGAGTTGACTATAATCATACATGTTCGTAATTTGAATCTGGAGTTGATTATAATCATACATGTTCATAATTTGAATCTGGAGTTGACTATAATCATACATTCTCATAATTTGAATCTGGAGTTGACTACAATCATACATGTTCATAATTTGAATCTGGAGTTGACTATAATCATACATGTTCGTAATTTGAATCTGGAGTTGACTATAATCATACATGTTCATAATTTGAATCTGGAGTTGACTATAATCATACATGTTCATAAATTGAATCTGGAGTTGACTATAATCATACATATTCATAATTTGAATCTGGAGTTGACTATAATCATACATGTTCGTAATTTGAATCTGGAGTTGATTATAATCATACATGTTCATAATTTGAATCTGGAGTTGACTATAATCATACATATTCATAATTTGAATCTGGAGTTGACTACAATCATACATGTTCATAAATTGAATCTGGAGTTGATTATAATCATACATGTTCATAAATTGAATCTGGAGTTGATTATAATCATACATGTTCATAATTTGAATCTGGAGTTGACTATAATCATACATGTTCGTAATTTGAATCTGGAGTTGACTATAATCATACATGTTCGTAATTTGAATCTGGAGTTGACTATAATCATACATGTTCATAATTTGAATCTGGAGTTGACTATAATCATACATGTTCATAAATTGAATCTGGAGTTGACTATAATCATACATGTTCGTAATTTGAATCTGGAGTTGACTATAATCATACATGTTCATAATTTGAATCTGGAGTTGACTATAATCATACATGTTCATAATTTGAATCTGGAGTTGACTACAATCATACATGTTCATAATTTGAATCTGGAGTTGACTATAATCATACATGTTCATAATTTGAATCTGGAGTTGACTATAATCATACATGTTCATAATTTGAATCTGGAGTTGACTATAATCATACATGTTCATAATTTGTAGCTGGAGTTGACTATAATCATACATGTTCATAATTTGAATCTGGAGTTGACTATAATCATACATGTTCATAATTTGAATCTGGAGTTGACTATAATCATACATGTTCATAATTTGAATCTGGAGTTGATTATAATCATACATATTCATAATTTGAATCTGGAGTTGACTATAATCATACATGTTCATAATTTGAATCTGGAGTTGACTACAATCATACATGTTCATAATTTGAATCTGGAGTTGACTATAATCATACATGTTCGTAATTTGAATCTGGAGTTGACTATAATCATACATGTTCATAATTTGAATCTGGAGTTGACTATAATGATACATGTTCATAATTTGAATCTGGAGTTGATTATAATCATACATATTCATAATTTGAATCTGGAGTTGACTATAATCATACATGTTCATAATTTGAATCTGGAGTTGACTACAATCATACATGTTCATAATTTGAATCTGGAGTTGACTATAATCATACATGTTCATAATTTGAATCTGGAGTTGACTACAATCATACATGTTCATAATTTGAATCTGGAGTTGACTATAATCATACATGTTCGTAATTTGAATCTGGAGTTGACTATAATCATACATGTTCGGAATTTGAATCTGGAGTTGACTACAATCATACATGTTCATAATTTGAATCTGGAGTTGACTATAATCATACATGTTCGTAATTTGAGTCTGGAGTTGACTATAATCATACATGTTCATAATTTGAATCTGGAGTTCACTATAAGCATACATGTTCATAATTTGAATCTGGAGTTGACTACAATCATACATGTTCATAATTTGAAACAGGAGTTGTCTATAATCACACATGAAAATATTAATTCACAGTTGGAGACCATTGCTTGCCTACAATCATACATGTTCATAATTTTTTGAATCTGGAGTTGTCTTCAACAAATCTTGAAGAATTATTTTTTAAGAAAATTGCTAAATCGTAAAATATGTTAGGTCTTCTGGGATTTTTTTGAACCTCTATCATATGTGCGAATTTGGAGAAAATCAGATGAGTGGTTCTCCTGAAATGGCGATGACAAGATTTATCAAAAAACCTTCAAAATGGCTGCCAGAAAACAAGATGGCCATCCAAAAGTTAATCAGCTCTAGAACTTGATATCCTCTATATTTGGTGCGAATTTGGAGAAAATCTGATGAGCGGTTTTCGTGAAATTGCAATGACAAAAGGCGGTATGATCGCAATCCCAATCATGCCATCATCATGACACTTATCAGTCACCAATGGTGAGATAAAAAGCCGCAACGTCACCACTCCTCCCTCTGTTCACTCTCTCTCCATTCAATTTTAATTCAAAAATTCAATTCAATCATTTTTAATTATATAGTGCAGTCAGAATGAGGGTTTAAGCGTGCGTTCAGAGGGATTTTATGGGACATAATTTTTCATGTTGCTAGTATGATTTTACATATTTTTATGGATTATTAGATCCTAGTTTTTCAGCTTTTAGATTTTGTGGCCATTTTACCCCCCATGGGCTATAATTTGGACCCCTACTATAAAATTAGGCAAGAACTCAAAAAATACTCAGTGGAATGTTTTCAAATTGCTATGGTATATTGGTATGGGCTTAATGAATATATGATAAAAATTTCATGTCACATGGTTAAGCGGTTGCCATGGAAACAGACAAAACATACCCTTCAGGTGTTGATTTTCAGGCCAATTTTTTTCAGAAATGATAGCCCATTTCATCCATATTTTATCACCATTGTGTTAGGAAGGGTTAAAGTATGAATAGAAAACTTCTATAATATATTAGCAACAATCTTATATAAAGATTAGTCTACAGGATTTCAGATTTTGGCCTTATATGGGTCCATGATTTATACAGGGGTCTATTTCACAGACTCGAACCCCCACATTAGTTGGATGCTATAACTTTTGAAATAATGGAGATGCTTCCTGGTCAACTCAACCCCAAGTCAACTCAACCCAAGTCAACTCAACCCTTAGTCAAGTCGACCCCAAGTCAAGTCGACCCTTAGTCAAGTCGACCCCAAGTCATCTCGACCCTTAGTCAACTCGACCCCAAGTCATCTCAACCCTTGGTCAACTCAACCCTTAGTCAAGTCGACCCAAATGATTTTACTTGTTTTAAGTAGATTAAAATACAATATAATCCCATTGTTTGTGCAGTTTGATTTGAAATCAAACTTCAAAGAAAAAAAAATTTCTGCCACCTATAGATCAAAACGAAGATTTGAAATGGATCATAAAATCCCAATCTGATTGTTTATGACACCTGACATGGGTACGATAATGGAAATTGTAAAATCATAAATCCCATTGTTTGTTCAGTCTTGTTTTAAAATCTAGATTAAAAAAAATAAACATTTCTATCGCCTATAGATCAGAAGGAAGATTTGAACTATATCATATTGTTTATTGTTTATTATTATTATCAAAATATAAAATCATTCAATACAAAGTAATGGATGGATGTTGGCACAATGCACATGTTGCATAAGTTACCTGTTGTCAAAACTACTGTTGCAACAATTTCGGTATAACAGAAAATTGTATAGATATTTTTTTTTATTTCAGAGAGATAAAACAAGCTCAAATATGAAGGGGTGAAATATATGTATAGCATCGTGAATAGCCCTATTAAGATTAATCAAATATATTTTTGGTAAACAAATGTCATATTTATAAAAATTATAAATGCGTTAAGCACAAACTTCAATAGTTGATAATTTTATTTTGGAAAATTAGCATTTTAGTCCCTCATTCTTTCAAAATTCATCAATATCATACCATGAAAAAAAAAATCTATTTGTTTTTTATGGTGGGGTCGAGTTGACTAAGGGTTGAGATGACCAAGGGTTGAGATGAGTTGGGGTCGAGTTGACTAAGGGTCGAGATGACTTGGGGTCGACTTGACTAAGGGTCGACTTGACTTGGGGTCGACTTGACTAAGGGTTGAGTTGACTTGGGTTGAGTTGACTTGGGGTTGAGTTGACCAGTTACCATGGAGATACAGGTCTCATTTTTTCAGATTTTCATGAATGGTTGGTTTTAAGTATTGTATTATACTTTGGGAGCTGTTATGTGATTGGTTGCTATGGTAACCAAGGTTTTATGGAAATCCGGACCCCCACATTGGATGGATACTATAACTTTTGAAATAAGAGATATACATGTCTCATTTTTTCAGATCTTAGACAATGATTGATTTTAAGGATTGATTCAGACTTTGGGAGCTGGTATTTGATTGGTTACCATGGTAATCAGGGTTTTATTGAAATTCAGACCTCTACAATTGATAAACGCTATACTTATACAGGCAGATACAAATATCATCTTTTCAGATATAAGATAATAATAAAATGTGTATATTGTATTAGACTTTGGAAGTTAGGATTTACTTGGTTGCCATGGTAACCATGTTTCATTTTCATGGTAACTGCCATTTTTTTGTTTTTAGATTCACCTTCATTCTAGATAGGTCAATACATGATATAAAATACCAAATTGCCATTTTATTCTTAATTTTTGGATTTTTTTTCTATTTTATATGATTTACATGCTCATGACTCATTAATACTAGAGAGGCAAAAATTGTTTGGCTCATAAATATCAAATACTAGTAAACAATACATGTATATTTATATCTGACAATATTGCCTCATTCCGTACTACTAGTTCTCACAAATATTCTGACTCCTAATTTGTTCATTTTTACTCATTATTACTGCTTTCATTTTGCACAATTGCCTCTTGATTTAAATATCAACCGTTTCTGTTGGAATGAAGGCTTGTTTTGACCATTCTTGAGTTGAGGATCCTCAGGGGATTTAGTACATTCATGCAGTGTTGCACTTGGCAGAATGTGTTAAGACTGGTCCCTGGGGTTCACTGTATATAAAATTTGGCTGGGGTCCTAGGCTGAACCCTCAGATATCAATATGTTCCCATACCAATCTGTCAAATTTGAATGTATTTCCATACCAACCAAAGTAATGCCCAAAAGTCATACCAAATGCCCAAATAGGATCAATGGTATATCAAATATCCAGATATAAAAACATGGCCATTTAAAATGTCTAACGCCACGAGAAGAAGGCAGACCTTTGAGGAAAACAACCAAAAACAACTTCACATTATGAAGGATATATACTAGACCAATGCCATACCACAAGTGAGGGGTAACATATGTTCCTAGACCATTCTCATACTAGTAAGTGGAAAAATCAGACCATTGTTATACCTCAAGTCATAATTTGGAGGGCATTCTCATATCAGATCTTAAAAGGAGAAAAGTCACTATGGAGAGCTTTTTAGAAGGACACAACTATTTTATTCTGGAAGTGATCATCATGAAACTTTAACATACATTTAGAAATGAGGTGAATTCAGAGATCCTGATATATTATTCTCAAATTATTAAAACGTGAGTTTGTAGAACGTTTTTTGTGACGAGTTCATCATTGGCTCCAAAGTAATTCATTGCATTACATTAGGTGCTATGTAGAATATCTTCCACCTTGTAATGATTGCTCACTCCAAGATTTAGGATTTGTCATTCATCCTCTTCAAATTTCTATATTATTGTTATTGATGTCAGTTACTAATGTATTTTTGTAATTCTGCTGTTCTTTTGCAGGTGAACAATTCAACTTTGGATTTCATTGTTACTGGATCTGAAAAAAAGTAAAATAAATCAACTGAAACTGAAGACAAACAATTCTTAAAGTTGTTTTCTTCAATAGGAAATAATATAGAAATTCCTGATACCATAAAATCCACAGTTGAATTGTTCACCTGCAAAAGTACAGCTGAATTACAAAAAATAACTGCCACTAATAAATTACGAGATGAGCTGTTTCACATGAGATACTAGTATTCTCAAAAACAGAACAGTGCTGCCTTCACTTATGAAGGTGTTGACATTTCAACTCTTTCACATTTGAAGAGGGTGAATTATCAAACCTGCATATGCAAATATTCCCACCAGCCTAAACCCAGCTCTACCAAGCCAAACACTGCATGAATGAATTATGAATTCCCCGAGGAATCCTTAACACCCCAATGGTCAAAAGAATCCTTCCTTGTTGAAATTGTTGATATTTTAAATTAAGAGACCATTGTGGAGGATGAAAACTATAATGATGAGTAAAAACAAGTAAGGAGTAGAATGTGTGAGAACTAGTAGAATGTAATGAGGCAATACTGTCAGACATTCATGTAAAAATGCTGAAATTAAGAGTTAAATGATAATTTTGAGCAATTTTGCGTTCTATGTTGTGTCTTGACCATTCTCAAATGAAGGTAAATCTGAAATCAAAAATG